GTTTGAGTTAATTAGGGATTTAAAATGATTCTGTGATTACAGAACACTTAATAAATAATCCGACTTTAACGAGGGATATTTTTTGCCATAATCAGCAGAGCACATTCAGATTATCATTTCTGCGTTCTTCAAACTTTTTTTTTGCTGCTACAAGTCTTAATGATTGTGTATGTGGTGTCAGATTACACTAAATGATATATATATGATTTAAGTGTATATGATCTTCTGATATAAACATTTTTAGTAGGAACTGCATTATTTTTTTACATTTTTTATTAGATGAAACATTGTCAGCCATTATTGATTTTTGACTAGTTTTTACTTTCATCTTCATTTTTTATTACATGAAGCATTGTCAACCATTATTACTTTTTAATTAGTATTTACTTCCATCTTCATTATTAGATACAAAATGTTATCAACCAACATTTTTAATGTTAACTTGTTTACATTTGTCTTAATGCAGCTGGTATGTTTAGTATTCATTCCTTGAGGAGGAAAATAAGTCTTGTGTTCAAATAAAATGATATTTATTTAAAGATACACAAATTTTAACTGTAACTACTAATCATGCAATAAAAGTTAGAAAGTTCTTCTCTTTGACTGTAAGGAAATGAACATAGTCTTTCAGGGAGGAAGAAAGAAAGTTGAGTTAGGAGATAAGATCAAAGGGAGTCCATTGAGGACTCGTGTCTCATTACTGGTGTCAGTCCTTCTGCCAGTTGGATGAATGTTTCGTTTCTATGCCTCTTTGTAGGCGCCAGAAGCCTGTGTTTGTTTATTGGTGAGAGCTGATTTTATTGACTACTTATTTATATTGAATTGAATCAATTTAAAGTATGTTTGAAACCCAGAAAGTTGCAAGGAATGTTTATTTTTGTCATTTGCTCCTTTGATTTGATACTATTCACTTCCACTTACTCTACAATCCCACCCCCCCAGATTGATAGTTGAGAGAAGTCTGTAAGTAATATATTGTTTGGGACAAGTGACCCATCTTCCTGATTTAGCAGTGCGAAGTTGCTGGCTTGTTTCTGCTGTCGAGTCACTCTGAGATGATTTGTTACTTGGATGTGGTAATTGTGATAATGTTGTTAGTTGTGAAGCTGATGCATTTCCATTATCAACATACACTGACTTGATCCTATCCACTGATATATTCTCTGTTTTTCCCATTGTGCAAAATGTTAAAGTATTTGTCTGTCCTATGTTGAACAAGGTATTGACCGGTGTAGCATGGAGCTAGTGGCATTTTTACAAAGTCATTTAGTATAAATACTTTTTTTTTTTTTTTTTTTTCAATTGTGTAAATCCTTCAGAATATAAATTTGAGTGGTAACTTGCCTAGCTGGTGCAAATTGTAAGCAAAACATTTTTGTTTTTAGTTGTTGTATAAAAGTTGTTGAATATTTTTTATCATCCTCGAAAGAATTGTCTTGGCAAAATTAAGGTAGTGCTGAAAACTATTTCTGCTTGTGTCCATTGTAGATCTTCCTTTTAATGTGTTTCTAATGGACAATAGAGTTAGTGGCAAATTATCTGCCCAGTCATAAGGGTTTGTCCTTTGCTGCTAAAGAAGCTTTCAAGTGGTGATGAAACTCTCCAGCACATTATTTGAACATGGGTGGTATGCAGTTGTTTTAATATCATGTATGTCGAGTATTTTTGTGAATTCCTTGAAGAGTTGCAATTGAAACTGAGGTCCATGCTCTGTTGTGATAGTGGTTGGTATACCAATGATCCAGTAATGTCCTTGCAACAGATTTTGTGGTTGTATCTTTAATTAGATATGCTGTTGTCCAATGAGAATACTAGTCAGCAACAGTGAGAATATATTGATAACCTTGTAATGGTGGGAGTGTTCCTACTAAGTCTAGGTGGATATTGGTGAAATGAACATCTGGCTCACTGAAGCTTCTGGTAGGAGATTTCGTGTGCCTACTGATTTTATTGTGTTGACAAGACAAACAAGTTTTAGTCCAATTACGGATGTCTGTCATAATATTTGGCCATACAATGCATTGTGCGATAAGCTTTACTGTTCCTTTCCTACTTGGATAAGATAGTCCATGAAAGTGTAAGAATGTGACATGCTAGATAACCCGCTCTTTCCCAGAAACTGTAACTAAGGTCTGCTCAGCATAGTTGTAGTATAAACCACAGGTGGGTTCTGTGGGTGTTGAATAGACACAAATGTGCCTGAGCAAGTGTCTGCAATAGGGGTTGGCTAGTCACCCTAGTAGACAGGTATCCTTGAATGAGTGGCCAGCTATACTACTGTGTAAATCTACTAAGCACTTGTCGTAGATGTTGGTTATGTTCATCTTTGTCTTAGTTATTAATAAGTCATCCATGTAGGCAAAGACGAAGAGTAGCCCTCTTAAAAACTTCATCTATGAATCTCTGGAATGCTTGAGTGGCCTTGTGTAGCCCAAATGACATTTTAGTGAACTCAAACAGTCCAAAGGGAGTGATTACCGCAGTCTTGTGAATATCCTCATCAGTGACTGGTAGTTGGTAATATGCATGGACTAAGTCAAGTTTAAAAAAAATAGTGCAACCATGTAGTGAAATCACTCGGAAAGGTCGGGGGGTAACAGTCAGCTGAGCTCACTGTATTTAACTGTCTAAAATCCTCACATATCTGCCATGTTGGCTCATCATTAGGGACCAATTGTATAGATGAAGTCCAAAAACTTTTAGAAGGCTGAATGATTCCTTGCCCCAATAAACACTGAAATTCCCATTTGGTGAATTTTAAATTGGTCTTAACCTGTGAGCTGTGGCATGTGTAGGTTGTCTAGTGGTCTGTATGTGGTGTTTTGTTGAATGTTTGCTACTGGCTGAGTGTGTTAATAGTTGTGTTAAGTCTAGGAATGGTCTGAATGTGGTTGCAAATTCATTATTTAATACAGCTATATTTATCCTAGTAGTAGAAAGGGATGTGTGAATTCCTCATGTTTTCACTTTAGTTTCCTCATCAGTTAAGGTGTAACTGGACATATTAAGAGAGTTTAAACTTGGTTAATTCTTGTTGATGGGTGTTTTCATTTTAGCTATTATGAAAGTCCATAATTCTCTCTGGACCCTAGATTTAGCATGAGGGTCCTTTCACCATATGCCAAAATAACAGATCCATTTGTGGCTTGTAGTGTTAGTGTGGAGGTAGTGTTTAAGTTTTTTTTAAGTGTCTGTGTATCTGGTATGGCACTAACCTGTGTGTCTGCATCTATCAGGAAGTTCATCTTTGTGGAGTTGTCTTTGATATAGAATGGGCAACCTTTTTTTGATATTGTTTGTCTAATCAATGTGGTTGCATTTATTGACTAGATAAGCAGTTTTCCTGAAACTCACATGGCTTATTGCATTTCTGTTGAATTTCTGTTGGTACTGACAGTATACATCTCTTGAAGCAGGCCTTTGTCTGCTATTATGTTGTCTGGTTGCACTGTCTTTGCCTTGAACGGGATCTGTTATAATGTTCATGCATCATCTCCAATTGTTTGGTTAATTCTGCTACAGCTTCCTTGAGTTGTGTTAAACTGCTGCTTTCCGTGTCATGAATTCTGTCGGCAACATCAGCTAACCTCTTAAGGTTTTCATCTTCTGATAGAGGTGCTAAAATTTGCGTTGTTGTTGTAGCTAATTTATCTGGCCACATCCTTTTCAGAATAGAATTAGCCATGGTATTGTCTCCAACTATTGATCTCATGTGGTGTAGTAATTGAGAGGTGTTCTGTCACCAAGTTCTATATTGTTAAATAAATCATGTAGCATGCTTTCTTTAGATTTTTCCATCCATTTAATTATTGTGTAAAATGTCATATGGACAGTCTTCAGGCATAGTTTCAAGTAAGTCTGTCACCTCTATGGCTATTTCAGTGGGTAGTTTTCCAACAATGTAGCAATATTGTAGACACTGAGATGTAATTTTCTTTGCATTGAAATTTGCTTGTAGTTGCAAGAACCATGTATTAGTGAAGTTGAATGTTGGGAGGTTCATCATTAATGTAGTCTCCATGGATTGCATGGTTGTAGTCTCCTCCATCATGTGATAAGTCAGTTGAATTCATGGTCTACTAATATGACTAGGCACCTCTTGTTAGAAGCAGAAAAATGCATTGTTCATGCTGGCATTCACAAATTGTTGGCAGCAGAATGATGCAGTGTTCACTTCTCATTGGATTGTCACCATTTCTTGGGGAAAAATTCCATGGGTCACTGTTGAATAAAAATATTCAGAGAAAAGATTGTCGTGTGTTCCAATAAAATGTAGAAACATAAGATACACAAATTTTAACTAATTATTTATCATGAAATGAAAGTTAGAAAGTTCTTCTCTTTGACTGTAAGGAAATGAACATGAATAGTCTTTTAGTGAGGAAGAGAGAAAGTGGAGTTGGGAGACAAGATCAAAGAGAGTCTACTGTTGCTTTAGTGAGAAAGACAAGACACTGAGGTTGACCCTTGTGTTTTTACTGCTGTTGGTCCATCTGCCAAGTTGAATGAATGTTTGGTTTTTATGGCCTTGTGTAGGCTTCAGAATCCTGTGTTTATTTACGAGCAGGATTTTATAGGCTATTTATTTTTATTAAATTGAAAATTTAAAGTATGTTTCAAACCCAGAAGACTGTGTAGAGAGCCCTTGCCTGGTGTGTTTATTTTTGTCATTTGCTCCTTTGATTTGATACAGTTCACTTACACTTACTCTACAAATCTCACTAACAGCTTATTTTTCTATTTCTCATCTGTGCTGTTTATTTACTGCTGTGGAGTGACAACCTCAGTAAGGTTATGATTAATTAAAAGCAACTAAATCATTAAGATGAATGACTTTTTTTTCCTTTCTTTTGCATTTTGAATCCCGTTAATTCCTGTCAGCATTTTTTAATTTAATTTTTTTTTTTATTCTATTTTTTTACTATGCCTCGTGTCCATTTTAGTTGATGTTTTTCAGTACGAGAGCTAAGGAAAATCAACTTATTGTTTTGTTTGTGTAGGTTGCTTGTCCAGTATCATCAGTTACTCAAAATGGCTCTGTACGCTGTAAATGGACAGGAAAAGAAGAAATTTCAGCAGAAGATCCTGAATTGATGGCCCTTTTAGAGAAAGAGAAACACCGTCAAGTCCATGGATTGGAACTTATTGCTTCAGAAGTAAGTGACGAATTTCTGCAATCAATCCCCCCACTGTTAATCCCCCCCACTCTTATCAACCCTTTCCAAATGGTAATTACAATAAAAATAAAAATAAAAAATGTGGAAAGAAGTTTTAACACTAGAACAAACTGGAGTTTTCAAAGTGCAACCTTTTTAAAATATTCTAAAAGGTTGTACTTTAAAATTTTATTTTAATCTGAAAATATTTAATTTAAAAAGACAAATGATCTGAAAGTAATTTGCTCTATTCTTGATTTTATTAGAAGCAATGATACCTGACATTTCCCAGTGTTATGAAGTTGTTTCTTTGTTTGAGAGATTTGCATATGTTGTAAAACTATATTAGTCAAATTGTGACAAACATGGACCATCGTGTCTGCAATAAGATGGAAAGTCAAAAGGATAGTTTTTCCATGACACTGCTTTTATTTTAACTACCTTCACTCTTCAGCAATAAATTATAAAAAAGAAAATGATTAAAATTGTAATAAAACCTAAACATTTGGTGAAAGTGAATTTATACATATTTTGTCCTTGAGAGTTAACAACAAAAATATTAAACAATATTTATTAGATTGTTTATTTACAAGAATTTTATATTTACATTTTAAAAACTAATGCAATGAAATATTTATCATTTACCAATTTATAAGGAATTAAATATGAAAAGAATTTTTCATTCATAAATTTATCAACACTTAATAAATTATTAAAATATGTGAACCAATTATAAGGAAATTCTTATTTACCATTTTATAAATTTTGAATAAATTGGAAATTAGCTGATGTTTTGCCAACCATTAATAAATTAATATTTTTGTTGTAAATTCTCAAGAACAAAAAAAAGTATAAATTCACTTTTATCCTGTGTTTAGGTTTTATCCAATCATCACTTTTTAAAATAATAAACATTACCAAAGAGTGAAGGTAATTAAAAAAAAAATGATGTCAGGGGAAAAACTCTCCTTTTGACACTCTGTTTTATTGCAGGCACTGAGGTCCATATCAAAATTGTCATAGTTAAAACGGTCTGATAGGTTTAAATGTTTTGCTAGTCATTTAATTTTGTATATGGCATGTTGCATAAAGTAAGCTAATAAAAATTACTTTTTAAAAATTTAGTTTTTAAAGCTAAATATACAAATTGATTATCTTGTGCAAGGACTGCTAAGTTGGACAATATACAAGATGCATGCTAGTAGATATTAAGAAAAAAATATTATGCATGTTTACAATGATTATTAAGTCAAGAGGGCCATCCTTGGAAAGAGGCTAAGTTGATTAGATGGTGCCTGAGGCATCTTCCATAAGGGTAAATACTGAGGAGACTGGAACCATGTATGCCTAGGACCCCTATATTAAAAAGGCCTTGTGCCACATTTGGAATGAGGCAGGCATTCTGATAAATACAAAACCTCATTTCTTGTGCAATACTTATTAAATTTGATCTCAGGGTCATTTTTCAGGCAAAACCCTCTTGTACTAGGGAGAGATAGTTAATCTCTGGCACTTGAGGTGTCTCCAAAGGGGAAAGGTCAAAGGGGCTTAAGCAATTCTTGTTCCTAGTCTCATGTATATGTGGTAATCTAACTTTAAACTCAACCTTAATAATGTTTGTCTTTTTCTCCTATTTTTCACACTCAGTAACTCTTTGAATCTTAGTGGCTTTATTACCTTGCTTGAGGTGAAATTAGAAAAAAAAACACAAACCTTGTGGCATATTCCATTTGTGTGGATGTGCAGATAAATACCATGATAAAACTGTATTTCTTATATGGAGTGGTTATTAAGTTCAACACCAGGGGGAGCATCCCAATGGCAAAACTGTTGAGGGAGCTGGGTAATTTCTGCTTTCAGTCTTGCGTATGCCTGGGATTCCCACTTTAAAGTGCGATATTTCATCTGAGTGGGCATATGGATAAATGCCAAACTGAATTTATATAATATTTGTAAACATGCACAATCAACTTAACTGTCCACATTCTCAAGTGTGTGTGTGTGTGTGTGTGTGTATATATATATACACACACACACACATTCAGATTTATATATTAGATTTTCTTTTCTTTTTTTATTGTATATGTTTTTTTTTTTTCTTAAGATTTTTAGTAGTTCCTTTTGCAGTAGTTTCTGAACTTATGATTAAATAATATAATATTGAGTGATATTTCTACAAAATAAATTCAAGTATATCAAATAAGTAAAGCAAAGTTACTTCCTGTGTCAAGCAACACACAGACTGCCTTACACAACTAAACAGCTTCAGTTGTCCTGCTGTTTTATACATGGCTTTGGGGAGAATGGGGTTCATGCCTTTCCCAAGGATATTACTGCAAAGTGAACATGAACAGCCATGGCTGGGTTTTGAACTCTGCTCACCAATTCCATTTTCTGTGATGGTAGCCATTATACTCATGACCAGACATTTGGATGACAGACATTTGGCAAAGAGACGTTTGACCGATGGGCATTTCACCGAAAAAGTCCAAGTAAAAATAGTAACAAGCAATACTTCAAGTATTTTAATTAGCAGTATTATAAGGTAGAATAGGACTAAATCTAAATTTAAAGTTAAGTTTTCTTATTTCAATATTTGTTTATTGAAATTCAAATTTTAAAAAATATTTGAGTGTATTTGGGTAAAAAGTAGCTCCTAATTATTCGTATTTGACAGTAAGATAAAAGCTAGTTCATCCTTTTAAGATAATGATTATTAAAAGTGAAATTGAAAGATCTTTCATATCATAAAAGCTTAAGATTTTTGCTGTAGTAAAATGTGCTTTTGATAATGGCTGAAGCCAGTTGAAAGCTCAGAACCTTAACAAGAACTTAAACAAATTGTGTACAATTTTTTATTTTTTTGTCACCAACATATGGAAACTAATCCACCAAGAAAAACTTGTTAAAAATATAATAGTCCTGATTTCTATTACAAAAACAAGTTTTGTTATATATATATAAAGTTCATGTCACTAAGATGCAAGGAGCTACAGGGAATGAATGAAAAAGAAAAATTGTAGAAGAAACTGGAAACTTAATCCTAAATGGAAAATAAGGGATAAACCTCTACTTCTGTTCAAAAGACTGGGGAGGAGTGTGAACTAGGCAAGATTCTCTCTCTCTCTCTCTCTCTCGGTAACATTTCTTTCTCTCATGTGGTCATGTTTGATGTCATAGAACCACATTACAAATTTACGACCTGCATCTGTTATTGTCACATAGCAAACTTCTATATAAACATAACAGGATGTCATCTTTGATGGTGAACATTTCTCTTGTAATGTCCATATGACCATTCTGATGATGGCATAATAAAAAAAAAAATATCCGGATGCTGGACAGTTTTTGTCTTTATTTTCTCCCGAAACTAAAGCCACTATATGAAGCTTAGAACAGCTCATGATCAAGCATAATAGACATTCGTTGTCTGTTATATTTAACATAGGTACCTCCACGAGATCGCTAAAAAAAGAGCATAGCATGATGAAAAAGACGCCAAACTTGACGAAAACAAAATTTTATCGTCTAAATGTTTGTTATTCATTAAGAGGAAAGGTCAAAAGTATTTTGGGGTATTTTTTTTCCATTTTTAATCGTTCCTAGCACGTCCGAAATTTTCGTTAAAAATCTAGTTTTTTTTGAGTCAGCAAAATTGACCATTTTTTCCATTTTAAAAAAACTGGAAATCTGACTTTGAAATTTTTTAAATATCAATTATCATTTTTTTTTTCAAAACTTATTTTAAGAAAATCAGAAATTATAATGTTTATTTAAAATATTTTGAACCAAACTTAACTTAGCTTTTGTGCCAAAAAGATGTAATTTGAAAATAAAACAAAGCAGGTCATAAACTTTCGCGTCTCTTGACATGTGATGAATGATATATTTACTGAATTCCATGAGGCTAATTTGTTCTACTTGGAAGGAGAAAAGTGAAATAATTTACATTTACGTGAACAAATTATTTACCCCGTTATTTTTAACGAAAACTTTCAGCGGTCTAATTTTTTTTTTTTTTTTTTTTTTTTTTTACTTAGCTTTCACCTTTACGTTTATGATGCTTTATGGGAAATATATTTTAAAGAAATTAAAATAAAACTGTTAAGAGTGACATTAAATTTCATATTTCTTAAGAAAGGTATCTAATTAATTTATAGGTACCTTTCTTATGAAATTTTATCAGAATTGTACATAAAATACTATAATTTTATGTACATTTATTACATTCTACTGTTATTTGTATTTGCATTCATTTTATTATTAATTTTGATATTTCATTTATGGAAAAATGTCGTAACTGAGATTAATATAAAAATAAGATCATATAAATTTCATAAGATGATACTGATACTTGTAGGTAACCTTCTCAAAAATTGAAATTGAAAAATCAAAAGTAAAGGCCTTAACAGCGGAGAACAATGCTTCCACAAATAACGTGTTTTAATTATATTCTGGTTGGTCTTCCGTAAGTAAACAGCTCGATTATAAGCCTTAACTTAATTACTGGGAACAATTAGTCAAATGTAAAAAAATATCTATCTATAATTAATGAAATAACAAATAATTTTATTAAAAATTCATTTTTCATCAAAAAATTTTTTTTTTTCATCAAAAATTTTGTTTCAGAAAATATTGTCCATATTCATAAAAACAACTAAAAGCAAATAAAAGCATTTGAAATTAAATAATATATTTGTTTTATTGAGTTTTGTATGTTACAATTCAGAGCTGATTTTCAGGTACTGGGTATCCAATTAAAAACAAAAAAAAAAAAAAAACATGATTTGCATTCCTCAAAGCCCTGTGCTTTTAATTATTGTAATCACTAAAACCGATGCGATCGAATTTCTAGCGTTTTCATAAAATTAGTTATGGGGGGGTAATAAATATTTTTAAAAAATATTTCTACCATGACTTTCATAAAAAAAAACATATTTATAATAATTTCGATCATCTGTGAATAGTTCCTGAAAGTTTCATTAACATCCGATAATTATTTCTATTTTTGAACGATTTTTCAAATTAATGTGTGTCATACCAAAAAAAAAAACGTGCTAAAATTGTCTATGTTATTTACTAGTTCCGCTGATACAAATAGAAACAAGGTTTTTTAATCAAAATTTAGAATTTTCTAAAAAAGAAGGAAAATTTTTTTAAAATAATTAAAAAAAAAAAAAAACTTTGGTCTTTCCTCTAAATAATAACATAAGCATTTAGACAATAAAATTTTGTTTTCGGTAAGGTTGGCGTCTTTTTCATCAAGCTATGCTCTTTTTTTAGCGATTTCGTGGAGGTACCTAATTTAACAATATATGGTTTGAAGAAATAGAGAGAGAGAGAGAGAGTGTGGCAAAATAACCTGACACATTTGTAGGTTTAATAAAAGTGAAATAGAGTAAAGAATGAAAACTGTGCTTTTATTTTTGAAATGTGCATACAATACCGTTTTGTTTCATTTCATTTTAAAAATTAAATCTGTCAAGTGGATGCTGTTACTTTCCACACAATGTTGAAGGCATTCATGAAAGTTGTCCATAATTCAACAGGTCATTTCATGTGGAATGACAGCAATTTCTTGTTCTTAATTGTTCAATAGATCGACAGTGATGTGTCTGTGTGTGTATATACTTTTTGATTTCAGGTATTCCCACAGGAAAAAAATCACATGGGTTCAAATCAGGTGATCAGACGGGCCAATGCTTTTTGTGTTGCAGTTACTGAGTCGTCGTTCTTGATAAACATTTCTACAATGACAGTGTGATGCTTGTCCATTCAATTTAAACTGGAAACAAAATGGCATTACATATATATTTTGAAAATAAAAACACATTTTTCATTCTTTACTCTTTTGCTTTTATTAAATCTACAAATGTGTCGGATCATTATGCCGCACACTGTATATAAAAGGCCTAAACTTATAACTTTAATGAGATGCTTGGAGAATTATTATTTTTTTTTTATTTATATCTGGCCACTCATATTCAAGGATACCTGTCTACTAGGACAGCTAGCCAATCCGTATTGTAGATGCTTGCTCAGGCTCATTTGTGTTTATTCAACACCCACAGAGCCCAACTGTGGTTTATGCTGCAACTATACTGAGCAGACCTTAGTTAAAGTTTCTGGGAAAGAACGGGTTATCTAGCATGATCAACAATTTGAACAAGGCCAGCATGCTCAATCCCTCAGCCACAATGACTTGTGACTTCGTGCTAGCATAGCTATCGATGGCCCCCAAGAGTTCTGTCTATCCATTTTCACTCACATGGTTTGGGTCAACCTGTGGTATGGCTTTTCAGACACTTTCCAAAGGTGCCACACACTGGAATTGACCCCGCCAGTCTGATAACATGAGGAAGTCTCCTTCCTGACAAATCGACAATGGTGAGATTCGAACATGAGTCTTATGGCCAGAATGTGAAAGTTCTAACCACTTGACCACATGCCCATGAAGAATTATTATTCTGAATATTTCTCATTCCATTTTTTTTTTTTTTTTTTTTTTTCCCTGTGTGTAGGCAATGTAATGAATCCTAAATGAGACAAACTACAGAATGAAAACAAAACATGTTTAATCTATTAATGTCCCCTGTAAAATCTATTAGTAATTATAGGATTATGTAAAATCTAGCATTAATTATAGGTTTCTACCTATAATCAACTAATGCCTACTAATTCCTTTTTGGGATGCTGAGCATTAATAGTAATTTTAGCTGTTTCTTTATGAGGAAACCCTCAGCATTCACTGATGTTATAATGCTTGTGATAAGCTCATAGTTTTGGTTAATAATATTGTAAAGAAAACACTAAAACAAAAGATTAGTGAAGAAAAGGTGGGTGCAATTAGATGAGTGACATGGATTAATAATACAATAATAGCAAATACCGTAGTTCTGAGTGGCAATGTGTACAACTGAACACTACAATCCACTTTGTGATCACACTTCCTATGAGCAGATGTTTCCAATCATAGTAAATGGATGAGTCTATGTTCAACAATTTAGGGTAGAGAAGGTCTGTTCTTTTTCTATACAACAGTTGATCAATCAGCCATTGCTACCATCAGTTGAAATTTATAAGAATCTATTAAAATCATTTTTCAGGAAAACAGGTTTCTCTAGTTCACTGTTATTGCTCTTTCCAGTATGGATGGGGGTTTCCTTTCTAACCTTTATTTATTTTTTTGTGGTAGTGTGGAATGTCAGATCTTGATTATGCCATTATTTTCTTTTTGGGTTACATGTGCTATACATTTAGGTTGTTGCTGTTGTTGAAAGTCCTCATGTGATTTCTGTTATTTGGCAAAGTTCTTTGTAATTCTGTAGCGCCAATCCACAAGTTTCAAAGAAGGCTGGTCCTTGCTAAAACCTACTGGCTTTGTTCACTGGAAGTCTTTTTTAGTTATTTATCTGAGAAAGTGGTTGTAAACAGCTAGCAGTGTCTCCTGATAAACTACATCCAACAGCAAAGCCTTTGATCAGGAGGTTTTAAGGAGCATGGAACCACTTCTTAATTGCTGGTGTTCCCAGGTCTACCCTGGCCCAGTGTGGTAATGCCTGTCAGGGTCCCAGCTATGGACAAATAGTTACCCCCCCCCCACAAAAAAAAGGGATCAAAACACAATGAAAGTATGAAAATAGGTTTTAATACCAGCAATACTTTTTTTGAAAAATTATTACCAGCAATACATTTTTGAAGAAAAAATTATTACTAGCAATACATTACCAGCTGTACATTTTTGAAAAAAATATTACCAACAATACATTTTTGGAATAAAAATATTACCAGCATTAAATAGCCCATTGAGGTTGATATGCCAAAAACCAAACCAAACAGCTGGTAGTTTAGATATTTTTGAACAAGTCTGGTGTTATGCATGACATCTGCATAAAAGTCTCCATCTGATGAGGTTATTTAAAAACTTGACAGGAGATTTTAGGTTAATGTTTTAGTTTTGTATCAACTTGTGATGTTATGTGGAACTACTCTTAGAGCAGACTATTAACCTATAATTGGCTAAGATAAGGCAATGTTTTCTATGGCACTGATAAATGAATGTTATGCAACTTTGTCAATTCTGGTTTCTTGCAGAACTTTACAAGTAAAGGAGTGATGGAGATTCTTGGTTCTTGCCTAACGAACAAATATGCAGAAGGCTACCCAGGTGCCAGGTATACATACCAATTCTTTTAACTTGTTTCTTAGATTTGTTTTTTCATTCATAAGTACAAATAAATAAATTAGTGACTGGATCTTGGTCAAAATAAACAAACTAGTGAAACTATAATGCTTGTACAGAGACATGATAAAACTGTTTACATATTTAATTAAGATAGAGGATTTAATAATTAATCAGTTTATTTTAAAAACCAAAGTAGGCATCCATTTATCTTACAAGAGAGAAATAGCACTCTGTTTGGTCAAAATTCAGTCTTTTGATGGTTGAAATTTGAGTGACCTCTCCAGGGTAATGGTATATGGAGGCTGTTCAAACTACCTGGCTCTCTCTCAGCCATATCAGTAAGAACCAAAGGAATACAGGACATTATATTTGGGTACGGTCTGGCTGCAGGTTCACTAGAAAGTTATATTGACAGCCAATCACCTTCGGGGCTCCACTCTGGGTTTTGTGCCTGGATTTACTTCTATAGCTTTTTCTCTGTTTGGATGTGACCACAAGCTAGCAGAGCCTTAAAATCAGGGTTTTCTTTCACCTAGATGGGCTGTCGAGCATCATTTACTTGAAAAACCTTGTTGTGAGGCACCAGTTTTCCACCTTCACCTATTAGAGCGGGACTTAGTTTTGGCTTGGAGCAGGACATTTTTTTTTTTTTATAAATATAAAAATGACAAAAGAAATAACATTACAATCGCTTTACAGTACCTTTTAGTTCTTGTTGTAAATATTATTTTAGTCGATACATGTGTAGATGCCCTGTTTTTATTTTTAAATCATTTTTTTTTTTTTTGTTTAAGTGCGAATTATGTCTAACAGCCTACACATTCAAGAGACTTAAAGAAAAATGTGCTCTCTGTTGCGGTTTAAGCCTGAATCCCTCTTTGTAGAGCAAATCACCATCTGATCTGTCGTGTTTTAAACTTCTCATCTGCATAGAGCATGTAGCATTAGATAGTGGTTTCCTCTACAAAGGGAGATGCAGGTTCAAACACTGATGGAGAGTTTATTTTCTTTACTCTTTCAAATGCACAGGCTGGTCAATGTAATTCACACTTAATAAAAATAAAAGTGAAACAAAGCTGGTTGGCAACTCAAACACATGTATTTACTAAAATTATGTTCAGAGTAATAAATCCTATCAGATTAAAAATAAAATTCCTTTGAAATACACTCTATTCTAGAAACGGAAGAATTTTCAGATTACAAAGAAATTATTATTGATCTTTCTGATAAATGAATCTCTGGCTAATTATCTTGAAAGTGAGAATTCTTTTACTTGTGTATCACATGATTGTAAAATTTAGAAAGGCAAAACACTGCATTTCATTCATGTTAATTTGGACTATTAAAAAGCAATCTTCATTGGATAAGATCATTGGATCTAACCAACCCCTTTATCCACTGTGCCATGTGTCCTTAAGGTGGGTAAAGGCGTTGGTTAGATTCAGTGACAGGACCCAAAGAGTTGTGAGTTCAATACCTAGTTAAGGCAGTGGAGAACTTGGAGAGGTGAATTAACAGGAGATAACTGACATCCATTAAACATGGCACTAGAACAGTCTATCCCAGTGAGCGAAATAAAGGGTTCAGTTTGACATTTCAACCACCTGAAGAAAGCCGAAGCGTACAACGGCTAAAACGTTGTGATAAATATAGCAACAAAGATGAGCACAATAGTCCAAATAATGTAAATAGTGTACAATTTTTAACCAGTTTTTTTTTTTTAATTTTTTTTATGTTGGTCTAATTGGTGGGTTAGTTGCCTATTTACCATACTTTGCCAGGAGCTAGGGTCTGCTTATTTGGAAAGATAGTATCATATTAACAGTATATGGTTGGTGTCAAGCAAGTAAACAAAAAAGTGAGATTTTTGAATGCTGACCTTCAAAGCAGACAGATTCTGCAACCTGTGCTGATTTAAGCTTTGTAAATGCCTGGAATAGAAAAAGATGATTTGCAAAAGCTAAGCAAAGAAACAGGAAAATTTCATTAGAAACAAAGAAAAAAGTGTTGAACTGTTATGTAATATTAGTCCTATATGGTATTAAATATTGAACAATTTTCTCACAGATGAAGAAGAAACTTCAGGCAACAGATGTAGTTTTACAGAAGGATGCTGCAAATAAAATAGATGGGGGCATGTAAGCAACAAAGTCTTAAAGAAGATAGAAACCAAAAAAGGACACTTATATTCAGAATCAGAAAGAGCTGAAATATCTTTGACACATAATGAAGAAGGAGGGCTTGGAGAATTGACACTCACAGAACATATCAAAGGTACAGGAGAAGGCAATGGGTCACCTACCTGACGAGTTTATGTGAATGGATGGTGGAATGTAGTGTGGGAGGAATGGCAAAAGGACAAATATTACAAAGAGTTACAAAGGATAAGAGTTTTTGGTGAGCCATGGTTTCCCAAATCCTTAGGGGAACATGGCACATAGAAGAAGAAAGGTTCTTGTCATTTTGCTTATTTTCTCAGTGGGCTCTGCTATTAAAACCACAGATGTCAGCTCATCCTCAAACAGCCATTGTTACTCTCCTTCTTCCAATGGGCCCTACAGTCTTTCCAGTCGAACAAGTTCATCTCCATACCTAGGCCGCCTGCTCAGTCATGATGTTTCCAACCCAAAGAAGTTAAGCTGCTTTGATTCCTTGGAAACCTCCATATTTAGCAAACCTCTACTTTGAGTGACCTTTGGGCCTCATTGGGTGAAAGATAGTTAAAAAAAGAAAAGAGTTGTTTTCAGATTAGAATGCTCACATTTAGTTTGCCATGATGTTTATTTCACTGTATGAGCATTTATATTTGTTGACCTTTTACTTCCATCCGTGCCAAAATGCTTTATCTGACCTTTTAGGCTTTCCATGATAGTCTCAGCAAAAGTAATGAATGCAGTTTTACACAAAAGTATTTGACCTCTTGGATTATTTTCTTTATTTTTTTTCTCATTAATTATTCCAAATTTGATTTAAGGGTATTTATCTTGTCAATCAATTTTAATAAAACAATTTAATATGTAAAAATTGTGAAAATTTGATGGTTTTGCTATTTGAATATTCTGATGAATCCTAATTCTCAAATTAATGATTGAGTAAGCACCTTGCAAGTTCTTCAACAATAAAATACCCATGGAATTTCCCCTTTGCATCGTTAAATATTTGACATTGCAATAACAATCATAAGTATGAAGACAGGTCATGATTTAAAGAAGTAAGAGGGTACAAATGAAAAGAAATAAAATTAACAATTTTTTTTTTTTTTTTGATTTTACTGAAGCAGATGTTAAACACTAGAGCATTATCAACTGCTCTATCTTCTCTCTCACATTGAAATCAAAGAATGTCTCTGTTATCTTTTCCATCTTTTCTGGCAATCAAAAATGGAATTGGCTATTATTTATGATATATTGGCAGAGTTTGATGTATGTGCTAACAATTAAAATTATAATATGATTATTTTATTTCCATAATTATCTATAACAGTGGTTGCCAACCAGTGGTCTGTGGACCACTGGTGGTCTGTGCAAAATTTTTCATGGTCCACAGAAAAATTGGGACATTATTTCAATTTTTATGAAGCTTCAGATTCAAAAATGATGAGTAACAAAACATATTATAGATGGTATGTATATTCAAGACCTTATGTAATCTCCAGATAAATACAAGTACACAAGTACTGTGACATCATCCAGCCATAGTATAACCTAATATGACTTGCAAAGTCTTATTCAATACTTGTTACGAAATAGTTTCTTACCATTACCATTGATAACTAGTTACTGGATGGTTTACTAGAATAATTTTCTATGAATATGGCATAGCAACAGAGTAATATTTGTATATTCAAGAATTGGTTTACACACCAGTGTGGTGTGTAACTCAACAATTCAACTGATGATAGCAGGTAGGCACAAAGAAAACCGGTGTCGCACGTCCAACCTTCTCACGAGCCGAAAGCCTTCTGCTTTTAAACAGCAGAAACAAGCCTGCTTTATACAGCTGCGGATCGACCACGATTTGCATGCGAATCACGAGGCAATGAGATTTCGCGTTAACTGACCGAGACCGCTCGGCATAAAACGTGGGCGCCGCCATTTTGGTTTTCTTTTTTACCGATGGAAGGACCAGAGTTTACATACTGCGCAGATTCGAACGCGTTTCCGAGGTAGGCCATTTTCACAATTTTCCCCACAACCAGATAAAATTCATAAGCATTCATACTCAAAAACTATTTTTGTAAAATATTTTTAAAAAAACAACTTTTTAGTGGATGTTGAAAACATCAAATCACCTTACGAACAAATACCACACTAAAAATGTGTAAGACTTGAATAAACTTCAAATTTTCAATTTGTTTTATTTAAATGATTACACTATAACTTTGTGACCTTTTTTAATGGGTGCATTTCATATTAATAAAATAATTATTATTATAATGTATTTACCATTTTTTTTGTTTCTAAATTCATATTAGTGGTCCAGCAAATTTAAAATTATACATTTAGTCATCCATGAAGTTCAAAAAGTTGGTGACCATTGATTTATTACATGTAGATAATTATGGAAATAAAATAATCCTATTAGAATTTTATATAATTTTAACTTTCATATTAATATTGTTGAGGCTCTGTTGATACCAATCTCTGCTAATCTGAAGGGATGCTGAAAAGTTCTTAGCTTGACAAAAGAAAGAAATGACTTTATCACAAAATTTACTTTTGTATTTCATGTATTCACTTTGGAGTTCACCACTTAAAAAAAAATGATGTTTGGTCATTAAAATAGCACCTCCAAATCCTTCAGAAATTTCCTCCTTTTCAAACTCATTTTATCTTTTTAAAAGAGAAAATAATCAAATAGGACAAGATCTGGAGAGTGGGGTAGATATCTATACACTTAAACCATAAATTCTTAAAAAGACACCCATTACCTTTCTAGTCATGTGATTGTGTGTACTCTTCCTCGGAAAATAACATCTTTCCACTCTTAAGCCTCTTTTTTTTTTTTCTTTTTTTTTTTTAGTATAGCAAGTTAGACTAGTATTCAGTATTAAGTGTTTGGCTCTTCTGAAGATTGTGCCATCAAAATATCTTAATTATTCAAAAAAAAAAAATGGTAGTCATGACCTTTCCTGCTGACTTTTGGGCTCTGAATCTCATCGTCTATAGAGAACTTAAGAGCTGCCACTACATGAATTGTTGTTTGATGTTTCCATAATTACCTTTATGTTCATTATAACAACTTTATAAATCTTGTTGAGGCTCTTTTGACCATGCTAAGGAATCATTTATAAAGATTAAGGTTATATAATTTTTTCTTTTTTTTTTTTTTTTTTTGTGTTAATAAACTGCTTATTTTTTTATTGCTTTTTATGTTTTGATTTTGAATTATGTTTTGCAAAATAAATGGAAAATAAAAAATAGTCAACTTTTATATTCATTATATATATCATTTCCGGTATAAATTTATTACCACGAAATATTACAGGTACATGACACATTGAGGAAAAAAAATGCTGGTCTGCCATTTCAGATAGCTTGAGAAGTACTGCACTATTATATTCCAAAAAGGAAAAAAAAGACATTAAACTTAACTGTTAGTAAGTGTGTGTGCGTGTGTTTGTCTGTAAAAGTTCAGTCATAAGTCACCTGGAGAAAAGATATCCTAATAGGGGACAAATAATATGTTGGTGTTTTCTACCTACTGCATGCTTGGTTGAAAGGAGGAAAGAGGAAGATATGTTTGTTCTTTTATAGTATTTAAGATTGCCACCTAAAGGCATCTTGGCAGACCAAATAGGGGTAATCCCCACACACCTCATTTTTATTATAATATTGAACATCTCATTACTGTATATCTATATTTTTGAGATGAGGTATTATGTACATTATTTACATTATTTGGACTATTGTCCTCATCTTTGTTGCCATATTTATCACAACATTTCAGCCATTGTACATTCTGGCCTTCTTCAGGTGGTTGGAATGTCAAACTGAACCCTTTATTTCATTTGCTGGGGTAGACTGTTCTAGTTCCACATGCCACGTCTAATGAATGTCAGTTATCAGTTATCTCTTGTTAATTCACCTCTCCAAGTTCTCCACTGCCTTAAGCAGGTATTGAACTCACAACTCTTTGGATCCTGTCACTGGATCTAACCAATGCCTTTATCCACTAAGAGAGACTTGGAGAGGTGAATTAAAAGGAGATAACTGATAACTGACATCCATTAGACATGGTACATGGAACTAGAACGGTCTACCCCAGCCAATGAAATAAAGGGTTCAGTTCAACATTCCAACCACCTGAGGAAGGCTGGAGCACACAATGACTGAAATGTTGTTATAAATATAGCAACAAAGATGAGGACAATAGTCTAAATAATGTAAATAATCCCGTTATTGGGATTGAAACCCTTTGACAAATCTTATGTTTAAGTACCATTATGTCAGGCGATAACTTGAGCACATCCATCAAAAGAATAGATCCAAGGAAATGGTTTGAAAATTTTTTTCCCTTTTTCTTAAATTTGTCTTTTGTGCAGATATTATGGAGGCAATGTTTACATTGACCAAATTGAAAACCTGTGCCGGGATAGAGCTTTGCAGTGTTACAGGCTGGATCCTGAACGATGGGGAGTCAATGTCCAACCATATTCTGGCAGTCCAGCCAATATGGCTGCTTATACTGCTGTGCTCAACCCACACGACCGCATCATGGGGCAAGACTTACCAGATGGGGGACAGTAAGTAACGTTTCTGTCATTACTCATTTTTCATTCATACAAAATCTCTTGCTTTCTATGTATATATTTTCAATAAAAGGCAATCTTATCTCGGACAGCTCTCTAAAGGTCATATCTTATTTGATAATATAATTTTATTTATCAGGATTTGTTTTTAAGTTCTAATTTTTGTTCAATTTTAATACAGTAGTAGCAGCAATATATAATGTTTAAAATTAGTTGTATTTATGAGTGAAAAAAACGTTTGAAGATAAAAACAGTATGGATGTAGAAATCAATACTGACTGCCAGTTTCATGCCTTAAATGACCTATAGATGATTTGATTAAAGTGTGAAACTTCCAATCAACCTGTCATGTTGAGTTTTATATATTTATATCTCTCTATGTATGTATCATATATAATTATTATTATTATTATTATTATCAGAGTTTAAAGCTGTTGCAGACCCAGTAGGGTGCAGTGCTGGTTTATTACAAAGTGGCCTTGTGCCAGGCACCACACTAAACTACCGAGTCCACAAACAATGTATATAAAAAAATGTATGAATGAACGGCGAGAGGAATGTGGTTAGTCCACACGTGCATATATTAAAAATATTAAGAAGATAGCCTGCACAGAATGACAGAAAACGACTGGATTCAAAACAAGTGTAATTTTTTTTTATTAAATGGAAAAACAAGTAGCTTATCTCGTGGTACGAGATCAAGGAAAATGTTCCGCGCCAAAACCAGAAAGCAAGATGGCTAAGGCGGGAAAAGTTCTTGAGGAAGAAGGTTCTAGAAAAGTCTGTTTACACGGAATATTATACATACAACAAAGAAAAATACTCACTGCGAGTTTTTGTTAGTGTGAGTGTAATGTTATGTATATTTTTAAGGTACTGGTTCAAAGCAGATTAGAGTTCAACGAATATGAAAAGTTCTGTTCCCTTGTTAATGACAAAGGCAGGTTCGGACAAGACGTTAGTCACTCGACGAGAAAATTCTAGTCATCCAAAGTGTGTTGTGATGACAAAGACGTACGTACTAAGTTTCCCTGATAGAAAACAGTAGGAGGTTCTTCTAAGGAGTTAGTCTAAGGTCGAGGAAAAAGGTGGCCGATAGTTGCATCGACTTGATGAAAATTATTTGACGACGAGCCAAAGAGACGAAGAATTATTTGTTGGTTGCATCGTCTTGAAGAAAAATATTTACGACGAGCCAAAGAATTATTTGTTGTCAGTAAGATATCCCTGTCTGTATTTAAGGTTGACTGATGAGGGATAAAATAAGTCACTTGTTGAATACGAAATTTTGCCCACGACTGTGTTGTGTGTCTCGCACATTTTCCAGCAGAAAACTGAGAAGGTCTGACCTGCGGATAGCAAGTTGTTCGTCAGTAAGATATCCCTGTCTGTATTTAAGATTGACTGACGAGGGATAAATGAGTCAAACTGCTTGGTTCAGTGTCTGGACCATGACTAACTTCGAAAAACCAGTTTGTCCATGACGTCAAAGAAATTTTGCAGGAAGATTTCAAATTCTAGTTTGCATAATATCAGGAGCAGCAGGTAGCTTGAAGTCAACAACAAAAGAATGGCTTACTGCTATGTCTGACTGAAAGAGACAGGAAGGGGGTGCAAACCGTGAACACGCGCGCACACGCGAGTGTGGAAGAAAAGGAGGAAACTCACGCGCGTAGAATGTTGTAGATTGCTACACAATAGCAACTGTGTTTCAACACTACAAATGTTTCCTTGGGCGATGGTAAATTACTGGTGAATGAAAGATCATTCACTCACCAGTAATTTACCATCGCCTGAGGAGACACATTTGTAGTGTTGAAACACAATTGTTATTGTGTAGCAATTTTTAACCTGTTTTTGCTTTAATCTGATAATAAATAATATTCAGCTGTACTCTGTATTGAGCCCTCTTTTAAATTAAATGTTATGAACAGTGGAATTGTACTCCATTTGTTCTTATATATAGGTTTGTCCGCAAAGTTCATGCTGATTTTTAATTTGTCATGTTCCAGAGTGTTAAAACATGTCAAATTTATCAACAGATATAATATGCTTACATTTACAATTAGAGCACACTTCAAACTATCTCTTGAGAAAGAAAGTTTAAAATTACTTAATTCATGTCAATTTTGCATCCCTATGAAAATGGAAGATTATGAGGTGCATTTTAGACACTTGATGCTTTTTTTCTTTCCTTTTTTTTTTCTTTATATATATATATATATATATATATATATATATATATAAACCATAAAAGCAAAAATGCCTTGTAAGTAACAAAAGATATGTTCTGTGTACAGTGAAGGTGCTTTAGCTGACAGAACTGTATGGAAGTGGTTTGCTATGTCTAGAATTGGTGATTGCAGCCTTATTGATGAAGAACACTCAGGCAGGCTCCTCTACTACAGATGATGACCAAGTCAAGACACTGGTCGAGAATAACCTGCATTACACAAAGCAGAAATTAGCAGAAACACTAAATTTATCAAAACCCACCCTCCATGAGCACTTAGTGAAGCTTGGGTATTCAAATCGCTATGATGTTTGGATACAAAACAAGTGAAAAGAATCTTTTCGATAGCATTTCTTCTGGGATTTGCTGTATAAATGCAATGAAAATGCACCCTTAAGCAAATTGTGATGGGTGATGAGAAATGGATCATTTACAACAATGTTCAATGAAAAATATCCTGGTGTAAGCAACATGAGGCAACTTCAACCACCTTGAAATCAGGTCTTCATCCTAAGAAAGTCATGCTGTGCATCTGGTGGGACTGGAAAGGAATCATGTACTATGAGCTTCTGCCAAGTAAGCAGTCAATTGATTCTGAAAAGTACTGCTTGCAACTGAATGAATTAAAGGCAGCAATTCAAGAAAAATGGCCAGAATTGGCGAACAGAAAAGGTGTTGTTTTCCATCAAGATAGTGCCAGACCTCAGGTTTCTTTTGCGACCTGGCAAAAATTGTTGCAACTTGGCAGGGACATGTTACCTTAACCACCATAGTCACCAGACATTGCTCCTTCGGATTTTCATTTATTCAGGTTCTTGCAAAATAATCTCAATGGTAAAAATTTTAATTCTTTGGATGACATAAAAAAACACCTTAATGAGTTCTTTACCAAGAAAGTATCGAAATTCTGGGGAGATGGAATTTTTAAACTGAAGTAAAAATGGAGAAAGGTTGTGCAACAAAATGGTTCATTTTTAGTTGAATTTAATGGCATGATTTTGTTTTGTGTTTTAATTTCCCTTAAAAATTGGCATGAACTTTCCAGACAATCCATATATATATATATACACACACACACACACACACTATAAATGCTATTTTTAGTGGGTACATGTGTCTGAGTTGACACCTATTATTATTATTATTATTATTATTATTATTATTTTATTTTTATTTTTTAAACTATGAAATTAATGTTGACTGGCCATGATTGAGAAGTCCTACTGAAGAAAAATACACATTCTAACAGAAATCAAACTTGTATTTCTTTTTTCCAACAGAGAAACCACTTCTTTAGTTATAGTGTGCCCTACCAATTAAGCTACAGGAAATCATCATGATAAAGCAAGTTTTGATTATCTATTTAAGAAATGCACATCTCTTGCTGGGACATTTTAATTCTATATTTGCTTGTATCTGAAACAACAAAATAATTTTTAAATAGTTAATGGATTTTTTTAAAAAATTCAACATAATTTCTTATTTCTATAAACATTATTTTTAGTGGGTTTGAGTTGACACCCATGTTTTTTTTTTTGTTTTTTTTCCTTTCTTAACTGAAATAAATGTTAACTGGCTTATATAGATCTAGATTGGTAACTAAGCTTTGCTTTATCATGATTGTTTCCCATGGCCATAATTGGTTGAGCACACTTCTGCTAAAGAAGTGGTTTCTCAGGTGGAAAAGGAAAATATTTTTTTTTCTCTGTAGTAAGACTTCTTGATCTAGGGTGGTTGTCATTAATTTCACCATTTATATATTTTTCATTTTTTTTTTTTTTTTTTTTTTTTTTTTTTAAATGTTAAGCCCTGAGAAAATTTTGTACCCCACCCCCAAATTATTTGAATCCTATATGTGTGTATATAATGTCAGTTTAAAGCTTTTAAAGAAATGGTTGATAAATGGCTTTTGGTTTAAAATTTTTGGTACTTCTCTCTGGTTAGGAGAGAAAATTTTGATTTGAATTTAGTAAAAAAATAAAAGCAACTTAAAATCTTTTCTCAGTTTAATTTTATTATTGTTTGGTTTATGTTAATAATGTCTGTAAAGCTTCATCAAAATGGTCTGACAATGTAAGCCACCAACCAACACTTAACAAAACCACTATCTTCATATTCCAAACCACCAATCAGCATGACATGAACTGTTGCAAATCATTTGTCAAGTGCTTTTGTGAAAGAGCCTGTTACTCTATGGAGATCAAAAGCTTACTGTATGATAGGCTCCATTACAGTTTATATGGAACTAAGTCAATTACATGAGAGGCATCAAAATGTTTCAGTCAGGTCTTTCTACCTATTTCTGACATCTGCAATTTTTGGCCTTTTTTCACTACAGTTTAGTAGCAGGGTAAAAAAGAAGTTGGATTTTGTTATAAGTTTTTTGGTACCTTAAAATACCCCATCCTCCTCAATTCAACATCCAAGAATTTGCAATATCGTGAGAAATAGTTTTGTAGCTATAAATGTTTAGAACCAATAGCAATTACTTTTTTTTTTTTTTTTTTCCTTCCGAATGGGATAATATTTGACTTATTGGTTTCTTCTGCTTAAAAACAAATCTTTAATAAAAATGGCTGTCACATTACAACTTACCAAATTTATATCAATTGCTTTTCATTAAATATTATTTTCTTTCAGCTTGACTCATGGCTTTATGACTGACACTAAAAGAATCTCAGCTACTTCCATTTATTTTGAATCTATGCCTTATAAAATATCTGTAAGTATTTGTTTCTGAGAGGAAGTCCTTTCTTCATTTCATCCTATTATACAAATAATAGCGTTCGCCTTTGACTTTACTCAAATGTCTGTTACTTCTGGAAATCTCTAACGGATGTTCCTTGAACATCTATTGCAAGGATGGCCAACCTGTGGTGCATTGGATGCTTACAAGTGGCGCATTGCATCCTTTTGATGAAAAGAAACTAAGCCAAAATCTGAAGAGAAAAAAAAAGTCAAAGCTTTTAATTGATGCCCCCCCCCCTTCAGAACTCCTGGATATGTCCCTGGTCATAAGCATATATTTTTCAAATAAATAGATTTATTATGACTTTAAAATATGTCCATATTACAACACGTACTGAAAGGAAGTGAATGTTTGTGTGGCGCATTTAAATTAATCGTACAAATTATTGTCGCATGGAATCAAAAGGTTGGGCACCCCTGATCTATTGGGACTTAAACACAGCCCAGGCCTCAAGTGGAACTCATACATATGATCCATTGCTAAAGATGTCGGAAAATGGTCACTTCCTTGTACCACTCCAGCAAGTATCTGACTCCTCCTGCTGTCCTCTATGTTTATAAAGGCCAGATTAGGCTGAAAATGGCATTACTGCTGGGGCTGTCCAGTCTTTGCTTTCTGCTCTCAATAGAGTCCGAAAGCATACTTGTGAATGACAAATTATTTTCCACCCTGCAATCCTTTCTTGAAGACAAGCCTCTTGTTACTCTATTGCCATTTCTATGAAAAGTCTTCAGATGAACTACAGTACAGGGTTCCACCAGTCCTAATGGCATGATATGTACATTGTAGTGAATCACCTTCATTACCTTTGGTAAGATGTAATTTCTACTATAGCAGCTTCTTCCCTGCTTTGTGGGACCAACTCCCATGAGAATGTTTCCCTGGTCACTATGGTCTTAACCTGTTCAAGTCTATGGTTAACTGCCATCTTCCACATATATCCGCATAAGTTGTGCTTCTTACTCTGTAACGCTACATTGACTGGCCCTTGGGCCTTTTACAGAGTGAACATCATTGTAAAAAAAAAAAAAAATGATAATGAAAGAAAAACTTTACACAAAAGTTTCAGCAAAAATGAAAGCTAAAGTAAACCAAGTATGAAAAATGCTAAATTTAGTCATGACATTCTCTCGTATCTGTAATTAACAGAAAGCCATTTGGTAAAATTGGATCATAGTACTTGTTCAAATCTTTCCTGACAAGTGATAAGTAAAGAAATTTTTTTAGTTTTAACCCAACTACCAATTGGCCTTAACACTCAGTCCTGTGATTCTATTAGATTCTAACCATGTAGATAAAAAGAGAGAAAAAAAGAAAACTCTAAGTAACCTCTAAAGATCACTAAATGCAATCTACACAAAAGGAAGAGTGAAAAATATATTGGCCAACATGTTGTTTAAAACAGCAATAAGGGACATATGTTAATTATTTCTTTGTTTTTATATAACATAATTATTTTACTAAACAATCTTGTGCTTATTTAACTCGGTCTTATTAAAATTGATACAACAATTGAAATTTTTTTTTTTTTTTTTAAGCAAATGAATGAAACATTTCTTGAAATGTTATGTCCTTTCATTTTGTAATTATTTTAAATCTTATTTTTTAATGTGTTCTTTATTTTTCAGCCACAAACAGGTCTTGTAGATTATGACAAACTTCACGAAACAGCCGTCCTATTCAGACCACGTCTCATCATAGCTGGAACTTCAGCTTATTCTCGATTGTTAGATTATAAACGTTTTAGAGAAGTGAGTAAAAATATTTCTTTCTTTCTTATTTTTTTATCAGTTTTTCCTCACATTAACAAATTGTTACATTGTCCATCATGATCTGTGTGTGATATTTAAAATTTTTATATTTATTGCTTGTAATTTTTCTAAATGAAATTAAGTAAAGTGTTTATCTACAAAAAAAAGTAAGTTAAATTATATAACCACTATTTTATTTTTAATTTGTTTTTTAATCATTTCACCCCAAGCAAGACAATAAAGCCACGAAGACACAAGAATATGAAAAAGAAAACATTATTTAGCAGTGAGAACAATAAAAGAGGAGGAATCGGGAAGACAGTAGATGACGATTGACATTACATTTTTAATTTTTGACGATCAAAATTGGAAAGCAAAAAGCCAGAATAGATTTCTACAGGCAAGAAATGAAACTGTTAGCAAAGGACTTATGGTTACATTTAGATTTTTCATCTTTTTAATCCTGAAATAGCTTGTTAATTTTAACAGTAACAAAACTTCGCTTTTAATCATCTTAGCCTATTTGTCTACCATCAACATGGAGAATGACTCCTTGTGCCTTTTCAGGCTAACATTTTCCGTTGACATGAAATGGAAAGATTATATTAAATCAATTGCTAGGTGTGCTACTAGGAAAGTAGCCAAATCTCTCTTACATATTTATATATGCCATTCTTCCATGCTTAGGATTAGAATGAACGAACGGGATACAGGGAAGAGAACAACGATAAATACCAAGAAACCGGTGTAGTCGGAAGAAACACCCAGTGTGAAATTACGTCCCAAAAGAGTCACTAATTTCTTTTGACCATAGCCTTCACATTGGGCTCACATTTTCCACTAACATGAAATGGAAAGATTATGCCGAATCACTTGCTAGATCTGCTGCTTGGAAAGTTGGTTCATCATGTTGTGCCAGACAATTTTTCTTGCCAGAATCCATCTTGCACATTTATAAGTCTACCATTTGAATATTGAAGTCTCATCTGGTCTGGAGCTTTTGCTATGAATTAAGATATTCTTGAATCCTGAAAAAGAATCTGCAGTGTTATCGGTCCTGTCCTGGTATCTCAGCTTCAATCACTTTCCCATCACCAGTAATGTAGCATCCTTGTATCTTTTCTATAAATATTTTAATTGTTCTGATAAGCTTTCCTCTTTGGTACCCCAGCTTTATGAATTTAAGTGTAATACTAGATTGCCAGCTAGGTCTCATCATTTTACAGTTGAAATTGGTAGATGTAACCCTATTTTAACAGTTTTTTGTCTTGCACTTCTTGCTTATGGAACTCTTTTCTGGCTTTTTGCTTTCCAGTCAACTTTGATTTTCAAAAAATTACAATGTCAACCTTTTATCTTCTCTCTTAATTTCTGCTCTTTTATTGTCCTCTCTCCATAATATTTTTCTTTTTCTCATTCTTTCCCACTCAGTAACCCCTTGTTGGCAAATTTAACACTCACAGGGCATATTAAAGGCAAGAGAAACAAACAGTGAGTAACCTACCTAACAAGCTTGTGTAAATGACAGAACAGGGACTGGGAGAGATAGTAAAAAAAAAAACAAAAAAAAACAAACATTTCTGAGAGCTACAAAGCATAAGATATTGTGGAGAGACATTAGTGGCTTTATTGCCATGTTGGGGTGAAATGATTTAAAAAAAAAAAAAAATGAAAATACTAGGAGAAAATTAATAATGAAAATTCATATCAGAATTCAAAATAATTTAGGACATATTACTAGATATTATTAAAGTAGGTACTATAGTATAGCAATTTGAAGTGTAATGGTGGAAGTATTACTGTAGATTTGTGCTTTCTTTATGGTAGACATTCATGGCTAAGGTATTATCTATATAAAACATACACTCAAAATATAAGATGTGAGTTCTTGTCAGAAACTACTTTTTATTTCTATGTGGTGTGAGAAGATTGGAAATAAATGCCAAGATAGTCAAACACCAAATAACAAAAAAATAGTTTCCAAGTCAGAGGATTTATGGTTAATAAATGAATGATTTAAAATTAAATATTTAACATTTTTCAACTAATGGATCACATTCCCGTCAACAATAAAACAAAAACATGCTTTGTGATCCCTTTGAAGGGTATATAAGCAAAGTTTCTAGAATGGCACAGCAGGAAGGAGAGGAACTGCCACAGTTCACAATACACATGGCTTAGAAAAAAAATTCCCTTACTTCTTCACCTGTCTTTCTCACCAAGCTATGTGGCACTTACACTGTCTGCCTTGCCTCTTTTTTTCTCAGACATACATGTGAAGAAAACACATTTCTTTTTATCTTAACAAACAAGAACTGTAAGAATTTTAACACTCACACACACTAAGAAAAATTTAGTTGCAAAAAACACGAAAATAAAAATATTTTACATTTTTATATTTAAACACTTTTTTCACCTTTTTCTTGTTGTGGGTTGATTCAAATCTGCAACAGCTATTTCATGCTATTTAAACAAGCAGAAGGTATTTGAATGAAAAAGTTTGGTTAAAATTAACAATAAGAATAATAAAATACTTTACAAAAATGAATAATTTAATTAATCCAATTAAAAGATGTTAATATCTGACAGAAAAACTCTGAATTGTTAATGAAAGGTGATATTTTTCCATCGGAATAAATTTCAATCAAGCAAAAATTACAATCATAAAAACTGAAATTATTTAAAATAAATCCCTTATGACTGCAGATTTCTCCACATATAGAAGAGAATATTCAAAATGAATTAGTTTTAATCTCAATTATTTCAATCTATTCAAAATAAAATTATTTGCAATAACTGTTCATATTTATAACTAGCTTAAAAAATGGCCTATTGAGCAGCATTTAAACTAACTCCTTTAGAGGGCCTCTTGATTAGGGCCTTCATCATCACAATAGAGAGGGGAAGAGTAGATGCGATAGACAACAATAAATTACAGAAGAACTCAAAATTGACTGTTGCATTTATTATGTACTAGCAGTAGAGCCCGGCGTTGCCCGGGGATATAACAGTAAGAGATAGATCAAGTATCCACCATCATAAAGACTGAAAAATAAAATTGACAAAGATTATTGTTTAAGGTTGATGGACACACGTCTTAATTTTTTTTTTTTTGTTTTGTTTTGTTTTGTTTTACAAATTGGTCAAACAAAAACATTGTTTTCAATTTCAATCGTTATGAGTCTCTACCGATTGAATAGAATTTTATTATAAACAATTGTCTTGTAAATGGAATTTTTAAAGCATTCTGAATGTAAAAATAAAGAAAAAAGTGTGCAAGACAATAAGAAACACTACATGCCAAAAAAAAAAAGTGAAGTTTTGTTGAAATCAGTTGAAAAATGTAGGTAGCCTTTCTATAATCTTTTAGTTTTACAATTTATGATTTTTACTTATTGAATACAGTAAAAAAAAAATTGCATATTTTGCTTGTGGTGATTCATAATTAGAATTCTGATTTGAATATATTTTCCACTCGTTGTTTCTAATACAAAAAATATTAACTTTATTTGGGTTAATTATGATCTAACAAATCTTATTCATTTAGTAGCCTTTCTGTAATAATAATCTTTTACAATTTATGATTTTTACTTATTGAATACAGTAAAAAAATTGGACACCATATGTATTTAAAGTAGTTTCCCGTTCCGGTTATTATTTTTAGTTAGGACTTGTGTATGTTTAGATTTCATTATCTTTCCCTAAAGATAAAGAATTTATTCTGACGTTTGTATTCGTACAATCAGTAGAGATCGTTAGATTATTGTTTAAGGTTGACGGACACGCATGTCTTAATTTGTTTTTTGTTTTTTTATGAATTGGTCAAACTCAAACAAAAACATTGTTTTCAATTGTTATGAGTCTCTCGATTGAATAGAATTTTATTATAAATAATTGTCTTGTAAATGGAATTTTTAAAGCATTCTGAATGTTAAAAATAAAGAAAAAAGTGTGCAAGAGAATAAGAAACACTACCTGCCAAAAAAAAAAAAAAAGTGAAGTTTTGTTTTATTGGCTGAAAAATATATGAAATCCGCTCCCATATTTAAAGGAACCCACACACACAAACAACCCAATGTGAGTTGTCCCCCTTCCATTTTCACGATGTCTCTTAATCGTGTTTTCAAATTGATTTTGTGCAAAAACAATTATATTTTCCCCATTTTTGGCGCTGTTAGAACCACCACAAGGTAATTTTATGTAGTCCTGTGAAGTTTTGTTGAAATCGGTTGAAAAATGTAGGAAATCCGATCCAATATATAAACGTTACAGACACACACACACACACAACACACACACAATCTGCGTTATATAATAAGTAAGATTGCATTAATATTTAAGTTTACCTTTTTTTAAAGTTCAATTATAATTCTTCTGCCACCACTTAAGTTAAAGGCAATTTGATGTATGTAGGTCCTTGCTTTCCATACAAACAATTATTTTTGTTTCATGAATGAATTCGCTGGATTTCATAATTAATTTCAATTATTCCTAAATTTATTTCCAAGTTATAAAAATCCTTATCACACAAAAAATTTGTCACAAAAAGTCACATAAAAAAAATCGCTGAAAACAATCGCGGTAATGAAAACTTGGAAATTCAAAATTTCAGGATTGTGGGTCCGGATCTGGCCCAGAATGTTTTTAATTTGTTCACAGTCGGCCTGATTCCAAAATGGTATACTTTGGGCTACGGCTTCTAGGAGTAAAGTTGAATACGTCCGACACATTGACATTCACATTTATTATAGAATTGTGTATTGATTACCTCCCTTGGATCGGCCTCAAACAGCACCACCAAGATGAAAGTGTTGATAGTCGCTTTTCTATGACTGACTTGATATTGCGAACTCGGCAGTTGCTTTCCATGCCTGAGCATTCCTATTTTAGATAATTTCTACCCACCCCACACAAAAGAAGGCTCCAGAAAGGGTAAGTTAATATCAAGTTCAATGATGGACCTAGGGTTGCTAACATCCTGGGCAAGCTCAACTTTGACACCCTTAAAAGTATAATTTTAAAAAATTTTCACAAGGAGAAAAACTGAAAATGTAGAATAAAGAGTTTATTACAAAACACAACTTAATACAAACGTTCATTACTCTACCTAAAACCATTTTTCTAGCCTTTATATCTACAAATCTTTTTATGGCCCTTTCTACCCCTATCTTCTTTACAAGATCATTTTCTATTGACAAAATAGCCAAAGAATTTAATCTGTCTTGAGTCATGGACATCCCACAAGTATGTTTTTACAAGCTTTAGTTTTGGAAGATCCCAAACACATGACAAGGTGGTATGATGGCACCCCAGGCAACTGTCCTGTGTTTCCAGTACATTGAACCAGCCCTGATCAAGTTGGAGACTTACTATGACCAGAGGATGTATAGTTTAAGTTTTTCGAAATTTAATACATCACAGTGGAAATAGCAGTAGGAAAGATAGCGTTGCACCAATTTCTGGATACAGCCTACCTAACTTGAAAACTAATATTTGAAATACTTTTACCTGGACCATAAGCTTATTCTTCTATGCTTTAAGTACCTTTAGGATGTGGGCGATCATGTCTCTCCACAACATCTTATGCTTTGTAGCTCTTAGAAATGTTTGTTTCTTAATATCTTTCCCACTCTGTTCTCTCATTCATTTGCACAAGCTTGTTAGGTAGTTTACTTGCTGTTTATCTCTGTCACTGTCACCTTTAATATGTCCTGTGAGTGTTAAATTTACCAAATCTTCTTTCCTCATAATGTGGCCATGAGCAAGTAAGCTATGGATTCAGACATTAATTCATGCAGAACATTTGAGTCAGTCTGTGGTGTGATTTTCAGGTCATTTCCAATAATTTCTGCACATTGAGATTATCAAAATATTATACCAGGCCAAATATTATCAAAACATCACCTCGTTGGTTATGGTAAGATTCAAATCCAAGTCTAATGGTCAGAACATTCTAACTATTCTACCATGCGTCCATGTAAGCAAGCCAAATATAAACCATTATTTGTCCTAGATATCTTTGGGCTTATCTCATTGAAACACTGGTTAAGCAACATCAAGGTTGTTCAGTACCTAGATAGGTGACCACTTCGGAATACCAGGTTTGGAAGTAATTGGTGTAATGGATATGTGCTTGAAATTGGAGCGTCAAGCTCTAAATTCATTTGGGTTTGTTATATTCACTTACATGCAAATACACTTAGGAAAGGTATGAGTCCACCTATTCTTTCCCCCTAGCTATGGGTTAATTAGTAGGACTTTATCAGTAAGTCACTCTTCAAAAGATTCTTACAATTTAAAAATATTTTTCTGGCTTTAAATAACCTGAAAAAGGTTGATAAGCCATAAAACAAATCAATCAATCAATCTAGATATCATTATAATATACACCACTTTCTTCCTCCCTGCCCACCCTTACAACAACCTCATTTATTAACCTTCTACCTTGAGTGGCTCTTGGGGCTTGTATTGGGTGAACAATAGTGTATAGTCTTGAGTATGATGATAAACTACATCCAGCAGCAAGGCTTCTGGAGATTGGAGGTTTTGAGGAGTGTGGAACCACCACCTTAATTACTGTTGTTCCTAGATTCACCCTGACCCTGGGTCATAGCACTTGTTAGCAAATAGTGAGCCCCCAAACAAAAACGCTATGAAAGTATAAAAATATATTTTTATATAAAAAAAAAAACTACTAACAATACATATTTATAGTAACATTATCAGCAATACCTATTTGCAGCTTATAGTTGAAAGCATAAAATTTGTGTTCAAAATAATTAGATTTTGGCATTAAATAATCTATAGAGATTGCTATGCCACTAAACAAAATCAACCAACAATAGTGTAAAAAAAAAAAAAAAAAAAAATTACCATAGTATATTGTATTTGGAGAACATTAAGACACACCTTATTGGACTACTATTTCCTTTAACATATTCCATGACCTTAACTCTACACATCATACCTAAGGTAATTGCTTCCTATTTATAGAACCGGTCTTTGTGTCTTATAGATCAGGGTCAGCACTTGGTGTGTCACATGTGGCACACCAAGCAATTTCCAATGACATGCAGCCACTAATGACATTGCAAAGTCCAAACCAATAACTACTATAATGGAAAGAAGATATTTAGCTGTTTCAATTTTAATATATACTAAAGTATATATACTATATATTACCATATAAAATCTCTTGTAGAACTGATATATTGATCTTGACTTTTATAAGAATACGTATGCTGTTGGCACACTGAATGATTTTAAAACCCTAAGTCGGCACATAGTTACCAAAAGGTTGCCGACCCCTGATTTAGATTAGCTAATACATGTATACTGCACTGTTGTATTTTTACCCTTTATAGTTATACTAGTTATATTTTTAGGTATTACTTTTAGTTTATTATAGGTATTTTTAGCCTTGTATAGTCTTTTTATAATTATTTTTTGTGAATATATCTAATTTAATTCTCATTTTAATAAATTATTTTTCCTTTTCTCTCATCTCATTTTATTCTTTCTTCAGATCTGTGATGATGTAAATGCATATCTAATGGCAGATATGGCTCATATCTCTGGATTGGTAGCTGCAGATGTCATTCCTAGTCCATTTGATTATGTTGATCTAGTCACAACTACGACTCACAAAACTCTACGTGGACCAAGGTTAGATTATTTTCTTTGTGAAAGGCATGAACTCAATGTAGTGCAAAAAAACCCCTATAAAAACTGCTATTTCTTTTCTGTTTTCTTGGGAGGGAGGTTTCAGTTTTTGAAGAAATTTCATGTAAAGATAACTCACATATTATTAGAAACTTTTTTTTTTTTTTTTTTAATAAAATTCTTATAATTTATTTTTTTTAAGTGGAATAGATGACAATTTATTTATACAGTGAAATAGAGATTTAAAATTTCATGCAACATTTTTCTTTTCAAATATGGAGTTTATTGACTCAGAAAATGTCTCAAATCAAATGTTATGTTAGCAGTGTAGACTCCCCTGTAGAACTACACGTCATTGTTTCTGTGGTTTCTATAACAAATAGTTTTTTTATGAGCTGGAGTTGTTAACCCAAAACTCAACTGATTTTGAATTCTGAGTTGTCCTTCTCCTAGGTTTGTTGCCAACCATGGCTAGAGAGAACAGTTTACTCTGCTGTGGGGAGAAGAGATAAATTCATACTTTTTCCCAAGGTATGAATCCAAAGTAATTGTGTGAAAATGGATGCAACAGCATTGGCTGGAATTTAAACTCAACATTTCAATTCCAATCTCTTATATTCTGTGAATATATCAGTATTTCTAGTGAGCAATAAAAACCAGGGAAAAATCTGGAATTTAAAACATGAGGCTTGAATGGACTTGAATTTGTGAAAAATTGTGAAAAGAGCTTTGAGAATGTTGAAAATGTCAGTATATTAGTGGCAATTTCAAATTACTTCAGGGTTGAGTCCTTCTGAATTCAGGTAACTAAACATTAAATTTATCATGTTAATTTTAGCTTTATATATAATATTGTATATTAATATATGAATACAGCCATTAGCTTGAATTTGTGACCTTTTTTTTTTCTTTTTGTGATGCCAGCAAGATTGTAAAAATTTTATGAAATGGTGTGTCTGTAACTTGTCAGCAAATCAAATGACTATTATGATTATTGGGATGGCTCAACATGAGCCCTGAAATCTGTTTAGGCCAGAAAAAGACTTTGGAAAAGCAAATTTTAACCCTGAAATATTTACTTATTGACAAGAATAAAAAATTTTTGCTAGAAACCCTGACATCCTCCAAAAGAAGATTGATCTTGTTTACAAATGAATGTTTATGCTATTAAGCTAGTCCTTGGTATGATGATAAACTACATCTGGCAGCAAGAACCTGTTAGTCCCAGCTCTGACCAAATAGTGAACCCCCAAACACTATGAAAGTATAAAAATACATTTTTATAGTAAAAATACCAACAATACATTTTTAAAGCAATGTTGAAAACATTTAGATTTCTGCATTAAATAACCCATAGAGTTTGATATGCTACTAAAAAAAAAATGAAGCAACCTATTTTTAAGCTATGAAGCAAAACAGGTTGAATCAATAAATTTACTTTTACTATCGGGTAATTGCCTATCTGACTCTTGCTACTACACAGTCATCACTAGGTGTCTTTTCAATTGTGTCAGAATAAGCTATCACAGGTGATTCAAGAACAGGAACAGACAAGTATGGCAATAAACTTCCAGATGCAAATATTACAAATCACATCCTGATTTAACACTAGTGCCTCTCAACCGATCAGTTCACTTCCTGTCCTTGTATACACTGTTTCATAGTCATCAAATCACAAGGATCTCAACACTGTAACATCAATTACTCTTGTGTATTGTTGGTTCTAATCTATGGTGGGAATAATTGAAAAACACTTGCCTTTCTTCAATTTATAAACAGAAGTGTACAAATGCATGCTGGGAATTTCTTCCTAGCCAATAAAATAGGCCAATTGTCGGTTTCATCTATCTCGGTCATAGTCTGTCTTGAAGTCAGAACTCTACATTCGCTTGTCCAAATTTGCTCGTGTGTGACAACTCTAAGTCTTAGTTTGTGAACTTTTTGCCATATTAATGTTGCTTTTCTTATATTGTTTGCTTTATATTATTTTTGTTAACTTGTTTTCTTTTTTTTGTTATTGTTTATTGTAAAATTTGTCAATTCTGTTTGTTGGACAGTATTGTAACTTTATTTTGCATTTAAGTTAACCCTGACCACTCACTCTATATAAATACAAGTGCCAGCATGATTTAAATTATTTCTTTTAATACCCTTTCTCACAGTATAGTGCTTATTTAGTACAACATTCATATTATTCTTCAAATAATTTTCTGCATGAATTTCTGGGATGAGAACAAATCATTTTCATTCAATTCAGACTATTATCCTCATCTTTGTTCTTATTATCACAAGGCTGGAGAGCACAATGGCCAAACCTCTGATAACCAACAACAAAGATGGGGATATTAGTCTGAACAGAAATAATGTAAGATAATTTTTCCATAACATGATTATTTTGTTCCAGGAAGGAAAATTTCCCAGGTTATTTCATAATTTAAAAACACAAAATCCCACTGACCTGACTATTCCAGATGGCACTAGCTTTTTGGTACAAAAGAGTACTGCATCTTGCCTGGGCAGCCAGAGACCATTATTATTGGACTGTGGGAAAGTGGCACCAGACTGACTGGTCAAACAAATCCTGTTTCCAGGCTTTTAGTTAGACTTAATATTAATCTTGTAACATCAGCAGAGAAATATGAAATTACCTCAGCCATCAGGTCCTGTGCATACTTGTCACTGATATACTGTTGAATTTTACAGGTCAGGGATGATTTTTTTCCGGAAAGGTGTACGTTCTGTAAACAAGAAAACAGGCGAAGAAATACAGTATGACTTAGAGAAGAGAGTGAACAATGCAGTGTTTCCAGGTCTACAAGGTGGGCCACATCAGCACCAGATTGGAGCATTGGCATTTGCTCTTAAACAGGTCAGCATAAGAAAAAATATTGTTATTTAATTGAAAAAGCTAAACTGATGTCAGTTGTAGAATTGCTTAAGATTTAGTCAAATTTTGCTTATTAAAAAAAAAAAAATGTATCATGTAAAATTAGTGTATGCCTTTAACCTCTACGATTAAAAAGAAAAATTCCTAGTTAATTCTTGTGAGAAATTAAGCTTATTTAAAAGTATAGTTTTAATGGTATGCTATATTTGAGTAAAGCATAGGTAAATGTAAAAGTGGCCACAGGCCAACACCAAATGGCAACAGTTCATTTCATGCTTGAACACAATCTTCAGGCCATGTGTGTTGTTTTGGCTGGACTATTTATATATGTTGGCCAATGGTGCATTATGGGTAATAAAATCTAATGTATTATCCTAATGTTTATTGGGTAGGCAGTAACTGTTATGCTTAAGATTGTACTGTCACCACTTGGTTTTGATCTCAGTGTCCAATTTTATTGGAAGGTACAAATCTCACTGCACATGAAACCAAATTCGATGCTAAAATATGTAAACACCAAGTCCAACTGCCCAAATAGTGTAATCAAACAAATCCCAAAGTGAATTGAATGCTGATTTTCAAGAAATTCTTCATCAAGGGAAATATTCAATGAAAGAAGAAAAAAAAATGTAATTAATTACATTGAAGGAAGAGACATAAAACTGACCTAAAATTGAATCCTCAAGTTAACCAAATCAAATAGAAAAATAATAAAAAGAAAATAAGAACAAGAAAAAGAAGTATTTGGTTCACCACCCTCTCACCATTCATTTTGCAAATAAAAACAAACATAGGAAAAATTTTTCCTAATCTAATAAAGGAACAATAATAGTTGCTATTATATCATATATTCAGTTTAATTAATCTATATGATAATGATTCAATTTTCTAGGAGTATTTGTTTGTACCTTAAACACAGCAAAAATTAAACCTTTATAGCAGTTTTATAAAGCAAGAAATGAACAGGTTAGGCAAATATGAATCAAGGTTGGCAAACAGATTATATCATTGGCAAATACATGATCATATATTCATGTGGAAATGAAGAGGAGTAGGACTGATATTAGATCAAGACATGAAGAAATATATTCATGGATACTGTCAACTATCGGAAAAAAAATTGTCATTAAACTGAAAGGAAAGCTTCAAATGTATCCATCATAATTGTATATGTACCAGCAGCACAAAGTACAGAAGGAATTGAAATGTTTTACTCAGACAATACCACGGCTCTATGTAAATTGTAAGAAACTACAATTATCATGATCATCTTTAAATACCAAAGTAGGCAAGGGGAGAAATGATGAAATAAATGGCAAATTTGGACTAGGAACTCATAATAAACACAGAAAAAAAATGGTTCTAATGTTGTACAGTGAATGATCAGGTAGCAGCCAATACCTGGTTTCAAGAACACCTAAGACGTGGAGAAGCCAGGAGGAGAAACAAAATACAAATTGACTATATGACTATCAATAAGAGATTTAGGAATGCAATTTTACACTGCAAAATGTACCCTTGTACTGACTGCAAGAGCAGTCACCTTCCAGTGATATTTAAACTACAGAAATTGAAAAGGGCCAAGTCCACATCCAAATTGCAATAAAACAGACTCTTAAATAACTCTAATATGAAACAGAAATATGTTTAAAGCAGATATAATGGACAAAATGGGAATGAAAACTCCAAGTGGGTAACATTAAAGAGAAGCTTTAGTAACATCAGCAATTGAGATTATCCCAAAGAAAAACAATAGACAAAGAAAAAAAGAATGGATAACATGAAATTCTTGACATGATGAAAAGGAGACAAAAAAAACAATACCAAAGTATGGCAGAGAATATAGGATTCTGTACAAAGAAAATAAAAGGACAAAAGACATGCTTATATGTTATGTGTAAAATCTAAAAATGAGACACTGATATTAGAGAAAGAAAATATACTCCATAGATGGAACAAATACATTGGAGAACTATTCCACAATGAAAGAGAAAAACTAGCAATACACAGAAATATCAAAGGACCAGAAATATTAAAGTCTGAAGTGAAATCATCACTGACCAAATTAAACGGGAACAAAGCAGCAGAATTAGACTGAATTGTAATAGAGATGCTAGCAACTTAGCAAGAGAGCCTCTTGATTTTGTCCAATGGGCAGAATACAGATGCCTCTCTGTCTTGAGGGTTGGATGGGCCCTACTAACATCAGTTATGTTTAATTTGATTTGTGTTAATATTTTAGTTTGTTATTTGGTTCATCTCCCTTCCCTCTCATTTTTTCATCATAGATTTTTATATATATTTTAGCATCATTAAATTTTTATGTCACGGGGTGCATTTTGTAGGTCTCCCTAGTGAGAATATGGTATTATGGTGTATGGAGGATTGATTGGTGACTGACAAGTTCTTGTGATGAATGTAGAAATTGTAATGTATGAACAGGTTGTGAATCGGATTAGCTAGGTATAGGTTAGTTAGTTAAGACCAGCCTCAACCCCTCCCCTTTTTCGGCCTTGTGCCATAATTGTATTTTTTTAATGCAACTTTAGATGATTTCACATTAACAAGATTACAAACATAATAAATAAAATATACAGCAGTAGTGATATACTGGAAAAGCTAAGTAGATCTGTTTTCATAGCACGACCTAAGAAGTCCGGTGCAAACAAATGTAAACTCCATTGGAAAATCAGCCTAATTAACCATATAATAAAACTTATCTAAATTCTGATGAATACAGCATGTAGCAGAATCAGACTGGAAATAGGACAAGAACAGTGCAGGTTTGTTAAAGACGTTGAAATAAGGAATATGATATTTATTCTTTGAATGATATCAGAAAGTGCAATACAAATGTAGAAGGATGTGTGTTTTTTTTTTTTTTTTTTCCTTCTAAGCATTTCACTCAAAGCAAGGCGGGAAGCCACTAGCATGCAAGGGGTTACAGAGAATCGGAGCAAGAGCAAATAGGAGTGATAGTGGAAAGAATGAAGAGAAGGATAGGGGATAGATCAAGGCATCTGGAGACATCGATTGACATTACATTTGAATAGTTAGATTATAGCTATCAGGGAAAATGGAAGAGGGGAGGGAGTTCCACAGGCAAGAAGTGTGAGCCATAAAGAGTAGAAGAAACAGCTACATTTAAGTTTTGACAGTGAAAGGGTGAGAGTGAGATGCCAGCCTAGTTGAACGCTTAAATTCATGAAGTCTGGGAACCAGTGAAAGCAGCTCATTGGAGCAGTTACCGTGAAAGTATTTGTAAAAAAGACAGAGGTACTTGTGTTTTATAGACTATGTAAAAGCATTTGATAAAATATATCTCTTAGATCTATTAGGTAACCATGACATATTTGGGAAAGACATTTGAATAATCCAGAACTTATACTGGCAGCAAACTGCCTGTATACAGATAGATGAGTACAGTAAATATACAAAAACAGAAAGGAATGTCTTCTCACTGGACTTATTCTGCTTATACAGTGAGACAATTCTAAGAGACTTAGAATTTTTACCAGGATTCATTATTGGTAACCACAATCTTAGCAACACAAGATATGCAGATGACACAGTGTTTATAGCAAACACAGAAAGGAAACTACAAGAACCCTTAAAGAAGGTATTGAAGGAAAGTTAGAAAATTGTCCTGGTAATCAACTAGTACCATCTCTGCCACCCACTAGAATGTTTGACGCTTAACTTCTCGAGAGTTCCTCTTTGCGATTTATGTTATGTCTCAAGGTTCTTGATAAGATCCAGAGACGGATATGCAACGTAATTGGCCCTGATCCGGCATCTCGTCTGCAGTTGCTCTCTCACAGACGTGCCATCGCCTCTCTCTGTCTTTTTTACTAATACTTTCATGGTAACTGCTCCGAGTAGCTGCTTTTGCTGGTTCCCAAACTTCATGAATTTAAGCATTCTACTAGGCTGGCATCTTGCTCACACCCTTTCACTGTCAAAACTGTTAAATGCAGCCGTCTCTTCTACTCCAATAGCTTCAGGTCTCACACTTCTCGCCTGTAGAACTCCCTCCCCTCTTCCTGTTTCTCTGATAGCTATAATCTCCAACTATTCAAATGTAATGTCAATCGATGTCTTCAGATGCATTGATCTATCCCCTATCCTTCTCTTCATCCTTTCCACTATCACTCCTATTTGCTCTTGCTCCAATTCTCTGTAACCCCTTGCATGCTAGTGGCTTCCCACCTCGCTTGGGGTGAAACGCTTTAAAAAAAAAATAAAAAGACTAAAACATCAATTCCAAGAAGATGGTTGTTAGGAAAACGAACAACCTAACATGCAAATTACAAATTAGAGATACCAAAATCAAACAAGTACAACAATGTAAGGAAATATTTTAACAGGATGAAAGTGTGATACTCAAATTTGAAGGTGCGCTGAGATAGCAAAAGGTGCCTTCGAAAAGCTAAGCAAGACATTAAGAAACAGAAAAATTTCGTCAGAAACAAAGAAGAATACTGAACTGTTATATAATATCAGTCCTCCTATATGGTAGTGAATGTTGGACAAGCTTCTCATAGATGAGGAAGAGGCTTGAAGCAACAGAAATACGGTTCTACAGAAGGATGCTGAGAGTACTAAGGACAGAACATGTCAGCAATGACAAAATTTTAGAGAAAATGGAAACAAAAAGGAGTCTTACATTTAACATCAGGAAGAGACAGTCGAAATTTCTAGTGCATATAATGAGGAAAGAGGGCTTGGAAAGTCTGATACCAACAGGGTAGATTGAAGGCAAGAGGGACAGGGAAACAACACATGACCTATCCAGCAAGCTTGCATAAATGAATGGCAGGAAAAGGCTTAGGAGAGATAACAAAAAGACAAAATTTATTAAGAGTTACAAAGGATAGGAAATTTTGGAGAGCCATGATCTCCAACGCCCTAAAGGGACATGGCACATAGAAGTAGTAAAAGTAAAGCTACCTTTAAATTTTACGTATTTGTGTTTGGCATTTTACAGAGTAGTCTCCCTTTATTTGTAAGTAATTAAAATTCTATAAGTGGGAAGTGATATTGAACTTCAGTGATCTTTAAGTGAGTATTTATCAAAATAAGATTGTAAAAAAAATGATTACTATTTTAAATAATCTGCAGGGATACAAAATTTTATTAAAGCCTCAAAAACAGATTTTAAAAGTTTGTATCTCTCATGCACTTTTTGCTTATTGAATTCAATTCCAGCTTCTTGTTTTCCACTCAACTTTGATCTTCAAAAATTTAAATGCAATATCAATCATTATCTTCTGTCTTAATTCGTGTTCTTTTATTGTTCTCTCTCCCTAATAATGTTTCCTTTTTCTGATATTCTCTCACATTCAGTAACCCCTTGCATCTAAGTGGTATTATTACTTTGTTTGGGTGAAATGATTAAAATATATCTTTATCTCTTCTTTTTCTTTGGAGAAGAGATTATATCTTGGGTCTTTATTCTCTTTTATCTCTTATTTTTCTTTCTTTTTCTTTTTCTTGACTATATCTTGTCTTCCTTTTATTTTATTTTATTTATTTATTTACTTTTTTTTTGGCTAAATCTTATGCCCCTTTCTTTTTTCTTTTTTTTTTCCTCAGAGAAGAGATGTTTTATAAATTGTTATAATCATCATTTTAACACCGCCTGATGAGATGCTATGTTGCATCAAAACATTAATGCATTTTTGTTGCAGAAATATGCATGTTCGAATGTGCCATGCTTAGGCGATCATATATTTTTTGATCCATGACTGATGAGGCATTTTTTTCCCCCACAGTAAGCTGCCATTTCTTTTGGTAGTAGACCAGTTGCCATCCAAAGCTATAGAAATCACTCTGTCCTGCTAATTGCTCATAGCTGGGGGGAGAAGATTCATACCTTCCCCAAAGGTATAATAACCCATAATAAAGAATTATAGCTCTACTTTTGTATTGAGCCCTTTTTAAGTTAATGTTATGAATGTTTGAATTTATATTTGATTCATTCTTATTGCATTTGGATGGAGATTATATAAAACATCCAAAGTTACCTGATGGTGGAGGGAATAGACCTCAGCTGTTGAAAAATTAATACAGAATTTCAATGTTTCAGTCTAACAAAAAGGCACTAGAACTAGACATTAATAATATGATATATATAAATTATCTAAATATAACTTATTTTTAATTTATTTAAATATAACTTATCTTTGGAAGATTATTTTTAAGTAGGAATTTGTATTTTTAAACTTAACTTTATCTATATAATTCTTTTTTTAAATACCCCTTTTCGTTCTTCTCTTAGTTTCAAATTAACACTTTATTCTTCATATAACACTGATTTAATGTTATAAGGTTAATATCCGGGTTTAATTTTATAAAACCTTTTCCTTATAAGGTTTATACCTTCCACTCTCCACTGACCACCAAATTATTAAAAGTACGAATCTATTAAAATTAGATATATTCTTAAGTAGGAGGAAAAGCAAGTATAAGAAAAAATTACTCGCTGTAAAGTGGTGGATCAAAAATTATATTAAAGAAAAAACAACCAAAATGGGGTTAACTGATAATTACTCCTTGCTTTTCAGAGCCAATTGAGGATAAAAATATATATCTAAGTGCACATCTGCTGAAAAAGGTGGGGAGGGAATACTACCAGAGGAGAATTGGCAAAATAGATCAGTTATTACATTTAAACCCAGCACCCATTGCTGCTGCTTACACTGATTAGTTCTGCTAATATATTCAGCATATCAACATCTGTAATTATAAATCATCAAAACAAGATAAGGAGTCTGAATGGGTTTTAGCATAAGTTTGGAAGTGAAGAAAGCTCTAGATTGGCAGAAAAATAACAAAGTTGTACACGTTGAGAGATATGCCAAGCAAATCATATTAAATTCATCAATCCACAGTTACATATCAAAGATGGAAAAATTTTTAATTATTATTCCATTAGTGTTTTAATAGGATCCTTAATTCCCTAAATAAATAAAAAGTCATATCAAGTTGGGTATTTTCAATGCTTTTTTGGGTTTGGTGGGATTGCCTCTGGTCAAAGACAGTGGCATTGAAACAGTCTGATGTCTAAATGGCTGTGCTGAATAGTCTGATTATTTTTCTGACACCCAATCAGCCACACCAAATGGTCTATGCTGAAATGTACCAAACTCAAGTTTGCCATGTTCGCTAACTTTTATTGCTTTTCCAGTATTGATGGCAACTTCCTTCCTAAGCTTTTGTCTGAAGCAGTGTATAATGTAAACATCTTGATTATGTCATTATTTTCTCTTTGAGTTTGCGCTATCCATTTTAGTTGTTGATGAGGTTTCTGTTATTTGTACAGTTGTTTCTTTGGGATTCTCTTATGCCAGTCCACAAGGTTTGAAGAATTGTGCTACGATAGGATACCTATCCTCTACCATAATTGATTTTGTGTCAAGCTAAGATACTTAGCTTGGCACAAAATCAATTATGGTGGAGGATGAGATTGGTAAATTCTGTTGTGCCAATCTTCCAAATGAAGGGGAAAAAAAATCAGCATTTAAAATTCTATTTTTACCTTGGTTTAACCCCATCCCAGACACTATTGGAAAATAGGCAACCATCTTAGCCATGAAGCATGCAAAAAAAAAATATGACATTATCACTAAAGATTTTGAACACTCTCTTAGAAGTTTTTGCCACCTTTTTTACCATTCTCTAAATATTTGATCAATTTCTGTTAGATTCCTTGTAATTATTTACTAGGCACAGAGATACAAGTGTAGGGCACTCTGTGAGAATCAAACTCATTCCACTAATGAACTGGTGAGATGAGCTGTGCTATGGTTAGGCAATGATATAGTTATTTACTAAATTTAACTAAGTGGCACAAGGCAACAATAGTGGGCTACAGTGAAAATTGAATACACTGCATTAGTAAATTAGTCTGCAAGACAAGCTTATTAACCCATTAGACACCCAGCTGTTATGCTTTGTGAGTCATGCTTTCTATTTTCTTGTTCATTTCAAATGAATTACCTTCATTGTTAATTATGCTTTTTTTTCTTTTTTTTTTTTCATTAACAGGCAATGACACCTGAGTTTAAAGAATACCAGGTGCAAGTGATGAAGAATGCCAAAGTTTTAGGTCAGACTCTTATGGATAAGGGATACAAATTAGTTTCAGGTAAGGAAAAAGAATTTATTTTTAAGTAGAAATAATCTCTTATTTAAAAATACATATATTTGCATCTCCACCAGTTTCTATATTCCAAGGAAGGAGTCATGTAGTAATTATCCAGAGACTAATATCTTCATCTTAGTCATTTTGATCATGTTTCATCTGATGCACTCTTTGGCCTTCTTTTAGTGTAAGTCATGTATAAAACCTTTAAAGAGATTTGGGCAGAACATGTTACCTCATTCACAATTGGGAATTGTCCTCACTCTGAGTGAAAACCAGACTTAATAAAAAGGTTACAAAAAAATTACATTATTTCCATCTGGACTAAATCCTCACCTTTTGTTGTTGTTATAATATTTTGGCAGTTGTGGCCTTTGACTTTCTTCAGATTTCTGTTGATCCAGGTAACCTCAAGGAATGCTGTCCATGTCTAGAAATATTCCATCTTATCCTTTTTTTTTTTTTACTACCATTATTACTTATTTATTGCAAGTCCTATTTCCACTGAGTCTCTGTATTACCCAACTTAGGGATTGAACTCACAATTAAAATGCCACCAAATTCTTGGCAACAACCAATATAAATGATTTTGTTTAAAGTTCTCTCATTACGACCAGATGGAGGATTCACCTGTAGAAGGTCTGGGATTGCAAGAAAGAAAGGATATTTATCCAAATGATGACAATATATCTCAGAACTTCTGTCTCCAAGACTTGCAGAGATTTGATACTTCCAGTAATAACATTCATCTCTAAGTATTACTCTTTGATTTTTTTTTTTTTTTTTTTCTCCTCAAATGATTCTGTAGATTTCTATATTTTAACATTTTTTTTTAAAATCATTTCAAACCAAGCAAGGCAATAAAGCCACTAAGACACAATGAGTTACTGAGTGTGAGAGAATATAAGAAAAAACATTAAGGAAAAAGAACAATAAAAGAACAGGAATTGAGAAGACAGAAGATATTGATTGACATTGCATTTAAATTTTTGAACATCAAAGTTGACTAGAAAGCAAGAAACCAGAAGAGATTTCCACAGGTGAGATATGTGAGACAGGTTGTTAGCATAGAATTTATGGCTATATCTAGCCATGATGTGACCTTGCCACCAATCTAGTAGTGTGCTTAAATTCATAAAGCCTACATACCATAGAGGAAAGTTAATCAGGACAATTACCATGAAAGTATTTATAGAAAAGCCACAGGGAAACTAATCTAGAGCAGTGAGAAAGTAACTGAAGTAGAGATGCCATGTCAGTATGATATAATGTGTCACTCTCTTGAAGGTTAGCATCAGCCATGGAAGTCAAAAACTGATTTCATTTCTGGTGATCATGGTAAACTCTCCTTGGAAAATTAGTTTTGTAAAAATATTAAAAAAAAAATTTTTAAATTTGATTAAAATAACATTTTCAATTTTTTTTTTTTTTTTTTTTTATATCAATATATGTATTTTTATAAAAAAAAAAAAATTACTGCATATTTCAAAAAAGTCACTTCATAATAGCAAAGGTGTAAATATAATGCATAATTAAAAAAATAAATCAAAAAAAATAAATAAACATCTTTACAATATAAATTAAGAAAAATGATAAATGTAGTTTTAATTCTTAATTAAATCCCTTTGAAATTTGAATGCTTTAATGTCTATCATTTTCTGGTTAGTTTCAACCTTGACAGTTTACTTGGTGGAACACAACTTGGAGACAAATATTAATCAAATGATATTTGATGACTTCTTTTTATTTTTTTTCAGATGGCACAGATAATCATTTGATCTTAGTTGATTTGAAATCAAAAGGAATTGATGGAGCCCGTGCAGAAAGGGTCCTAGAATTATGCAATATTACAACAAATAAGAACACTTGCCCTGGGGATAAAAGTGCCATGATGCCTGGAGGGCTTAGACTGGGTAAGAAGTCATTTCTATATTTTTATTTTTATTTTTTTTTTATTTTTTTTTATTGAAGAAATCCACAGAAGAATGATGATGCTAAAGTATATAATTCAAGAGAAGTGATGTTTCTTTAAAATTGATCATAAAAAGGTTGTTATAGTATGAAATACTATTACTACTATATAAAAGTATGAAAAGGAATAGTAATGTTAATTAGCATATGCATCAGGTAATGAAGAAGTTAGATTTGAACTATGAATGCTACATATGAGAAGATGCTGAAAATTTCCTGGCCCGACCCCCAAAAATTCTGGTGCTTAGTCATTTGGTCAGATTTCAGTAAGAGTGTCTGGCCAGGGATTTTCAGTAACCTTTGTATATAGCAAACTACATTAAAGCATAACTGAAAATATGAAATCTTAACTTTTTGATATTTCCGTCCATTTTAGTTTTAAGTAACCAGTTAACATGCGACTTTAAATTCTGCACTAATCTTTTGTTTACTTTTTGCACTAATGCCTTTGGGAAAGGTATGAATCTGTCTCTTCTCCCTCTGCCAGCTAGGAGTTAAATTTTTGAGTAGACTGGGTTATCTAGCCTTGGATGACAGCCAGTCTATAAGAAAGAAATTTGAATTTCAAACTATGGAGAAACCATCAGGAAATCACTCCATTATCTTTCTCAAGAATACATGAAAATTCTCATGTAATAAAGAAAAGAATTGTGTAAAGAGACATTATAATTTAAATAAAAGAAGTAAGTATAGGTCTTAGTTAAGGGTTCATGAAATACTGGCATCATCAGATTTGGATAAAAAATTAGATGAAGGTGTTTGTTTTTTCTCTGTTTAAATAAATCCAGTTGCATTTACAAAATGAAGATGAAATAAAGTGAATTTGATAGATGAGAAGTTCCTCATTTGAAATCATTTTATGTGAATATAAAAACTGTCCTCTTTCATTTGACTGGGTGAACGTGCAAGTGGTGTAATAACTGCTCCAATTGAGAAATTGGAGAGCCACGTTTCAATTCCAGTTGGCTTCATTACATTCACTTACACACAAATATGTGCAGGAAATCTCCTCCCAGCTATGGATTAAATAATGTCTTATATTTGGAAAAATCATTATTTTCAAAAATTGTTAATGAAATGTCTTGTTAAAAAAAAAAAAAAAAAAAATGGTGTGTGTGGGGGGGGGATTCTTAAAATTCACAATAAGTATTGTCTTTAAAAAATATAAATATGAAAGGTTATAAAAATAAAAAATATGTTTTGGCTTTAAAATAACCCACAAAGGGTTCACAAGCTGTAAAAAAAAAAAAATAGATCAAGCCATTTGACTGGACTGTCTCAGTAACATATGCTCTATCACGTGTGCAGACACATATATGAACATGTGCACATACACACACAAACCACCACTTGCTGGTTTTTAGTTGAATCCTACTTTGTGTCAAAGTTAGTTCTTAGGTCAACAATATCAACATGTGCCAACCCCTCCTTTTTCATTCTTCTTCTCTTTCTACAAATTTTGAATTATTGTCTGTTATTGTCTTTTTATATTTGAACTTAAAAATCATTTTAATCTGTTTAAATCAAGGCAATCGTTATACCAGGCCTGGTAACCATGCAACTGAGGTCGGACATGTGGAGGCCTAAATTACTACTAAATAACAATTACTGAGAACATTTTCAGCAAGGAACTTGTTAGTAATGTCCAATAATTAGTTAATTAGCAACTATATATAATATTAGGAAACATCTTACAATTATTGACTTACTTCCATAAATGCAAATGTACAAAGAAAGAACAAAAATACCATAGAAAAACTAAATGTGCAAAAATCACTTCATTCACCATAAATTAGATATTTTTAGATAATATTGCAAAAATAATGAGTTAATTTGTTTGTCATTTGATTACAGAAAATATAATTGTATAATACAATCAGAAAGCAATTTCAGCATTTTACAAAATCGTGTATTAACAAAATCTGAAAATACTTTACAAAAAATGTGAATTTCAGAGAAACAATAATTTTGATAATCTTTACAAAATTTGTGATTTTTGTAACATATACAATTTGTTTTGCAGAAGATGAAGAAAATACTTATTTTGCTATGATATTACCAGTACACATAATTTTAAGAATTAAAATCAATTCATATTGACAAGAACACAAAATTAACAGGATAATTTGGGGAGTTAATCAATTACATATATCTAAAAAGAGGGAAAATTGAAAATAAAAAATATCTGATATTCCTGTGGTATCCAGTGGAATTTTTAAATTCCCACATTCTGTTTTTTTCAAAAATGTTCATATTCTTGAAAATAAAAACTAATATTATTAAATATTTCCTCTTCTGTTGGACAATTGTTTCTTGTAACATAGTCTGCTATATACAAAAGTGACAGTTTAATATCTTTATGGATCCTAGTTTCAAGGTCTGGTAAATTATCAAATGTTTGGCATCACATTTCATCCAGCAAATGTCCACATTTTTAGCAATTATGGCCTGTATCAAATTTGTATTCTTCAACATCAATATTTAATTTAAGAAATAGTTTAGTTTTTCAAATATCATTTTGAAATGTTATAAAATATAAATCTTCAGAAGTTTGTTTTAATTCTCCAAATTGTCTGTGGTAAATTCACCAAGCATAACAAAATTAAACACACTGTTTAGCAAATATCTACAAACATCAATTAAGCAGTTGCATCTATGTTCAATGGCTAAACTAGTATCTCTTGTTAATGATTTAATTCTTTTTCTTTGCTTTCCTTCCATTCTTCGTCATTTTTCCAGATTTAGAAAGAAATAACTGTTCATCATCTAAATCTGATATCTCTTTTTTTTCAGGTCTGGTTAGTGCCAGCATATATTTCTTTGACAATTTTCTAAAATTTTAAAACTTAAATGAAATTAACTGTTTCTGCAGTGTCCTCCCATTTAATAATGGATGTGTTTTAATGGCAGCTACAGATTGATTGCAAAAAAAAACTTTTAAACAATGGGAAACATTTTGTCACTCGACAAGTTTTGGGTAAATTGCTACATTAGCTAGTTTCAGCAGCTTAACAGTTTTTTTTTTTTAATGTTCAAAAAGACCTTTTACAATTTCCCATTTTGCTGTCATCTTTTTGCCTTCAGAATAAAACAGTAATTCAGAAGTAGGTTCAGTAATCCAATTATTATAAATATTTTTAAAAAGGTGAACAAAATCAAAAAGTAAATACAAGCCATTTTTAGTTATCTAAAGCTTTCCTAAAAACAATGTCAATTTTTTTTAAAAAAAGATTGATAGGTTCTGTTATTGTCACATACAATTGCAATTACTTGACAATTTAAATGTTTAATTGCATCAATAATATATAAAAATTTTTCATTATGAAAAAGTTGCATCTAATTTTGCAGCTGGGAACATTTTAAGTAAAAATTTAGTCCACCATTTAAACATTTTGCCATGATGTCCAATACTGTTTTTTCCTAATCCCTCAATTTTCAGCCAAACTAAATAAATTTCCTCCATGATATTGAAGAGCAACTTTGACATGCATATCATCAATTAAAAGAATACACTTTTTTTGATTTTCGGAAATTTTACTAAAAATATCACCAAGAAAATTAAAGTTCTCATTTTGAGACTTTTGATGTCATAGCTGATAATGTTCTCACACTGGGTAACTTAAAATCATCCTGAAGTCTGTTACATAATGATTGAGATGTAGAAAAATATTCAAATACTCTGATAAGACTATCAAAATCATAATGTTTTGACCAAATCCTTTGTGGATAAATAGCATTAATATGTCCTTTTAAAAAATTTTTCTTATCAATTTTTAAGTTACTAAGATAACAAATTGGTTCATTGATTTGTGACCAATGTTGAAACATTGATATTCAACTTTTGGAAAGAGAAAAATATGTTGTATATATACCAGCATGGTAATATTCAAATGTCAAGTTTTCAAAAATTTTAATTAAAGACATTGGAATACCTCCAGTGAAAAAAAAAAAATCATTAGATTAGAGGAACAACTGGTTGTTTGTTCTATAGCTGATTATAACTGTTGACACAAAATCCTGTTAATCAATATCCTGATACAAGTTTTCAAAAGTGAGGATTTTGTTCTTTTCTAGAAACTGCCAACTCATCATTTTGCACAGAAGCAGAAGTTTTATTTCTTGTTCTTAGTTTTGGTTGAGGTCTAGGTAATGGCAAATGATCAAATACTGATGGTGGATTTCTGGGTCATACCTTTTCTCTAATAATCAGTTTCATAATCAAATGGAAAATGCCTTTCACAAACAAGAGTATTTGGTTTGTCAAGAGTGTTGTCTCAAGGTATAGCCTTTAACCATCATTCTTGATCATTCTGATCTTGGGTAAGACGAAGTATGCAAACCTTATTTTGGTCATCATAGATACCACCACAACCAACCTGTTACACAGCACTTTTTGACCATTTTGAGAAAGGTTTTGGAGTACTGAAATTAAAAAATATTCACTAAACTATTATTTTGTAAAAATTACATAGTGCTACTAAATAGTGTATATTCTGAGGTTTTGGAGGGTTTGGACTTTGGAATTTAGGTTTCAGAATTTAAAATTTAAAGTCTGTATGAATGTGGGAATCTTTTAGAAACTAACATGGATTAAGAAATGTCAAGATGAAGGAATTTGGGATTCAGACTTGAGAATTTTTGAGTTTGGAAAATTAAATTTTGGATAATCATAGTTTATGGCTTGGTCAATTACGCCTTCCTCCATAAAATACGATTACTTAAATAAAATTAACTAGTTTAAAATTTTTACAGTATATTTTTGAAAAATTTACTGTAAAAATATTAAACTGGTTAATTTTGTTTTGCATTTTAACAACAATGCTAGAAAAATTCAACATACATTTTTAAAATACCTGTAAATAATTATTTTTAAAATGTTATAAATTAATGAATTTTATAATCAAAATATTTGTTATTATGAAGAATAATAGCACAAAGAATAAAATTAAATTAACTTTCTGTGACAGAATAATTAATAATGGCATTTTTGTGAATTTTACTGTTTAAAATAACCATAATTGCAAAAAAATTTAAAAAAAAAAGATGATATTGACAAGACAATGTTGTCTCTTTTACATTTTCGTGGTATATTTTTAAAAGAATAGTTGTAAAATTAAGAATAGTTGTTAAATTTATTATTGAATTTAATTTTTGACATTAAGTTTGTGATAATTTTGCAGTGAAAAACAGCATTTTTATTGTTTTAATGTCTTCTATTTATGAAGAACAGAAAATTCAACATACTTTTAAAAAATACCTGTTATGTTTAAGAATAACATATATTATTCATAAAAAATTAATTTTATACTTAATATAGTGATTGTTAAAGAAAAATAGTGAAAAAATATTGAATTTAAATTACCTTTGTGATATCTTCTTAATGACAATTGTGAATTTTGTATTGAAAAAGTTTGTTCTAAAAATAGAATATGCAAAGTTCAAATAAAATAAATAAATATTTTATTTATTTCAGTATCATAAATAATAAGCTTAAGTTAATCCAAAGGTAAAACACAAAAATTTCTTTAAAAAAAATAATTTTTTAATCCAGTTACAGCAACAAACTTTTGCATCTTAATCCTTCACCCCTCCTCCCCGAGGTGCCGACTCATCCTAGTCGATGTAGAGGCCTGAGTTATGGATCTCTTTGGTTTAAATCTTTGTCTGATGAAGTGAATGGAAGCTCTGAAACATGTACCAACATTCAATAACAAATGTGAATGATAATTACTACAACAAAAACTTGTTCTAAATTAAAAAAAATGATGTATTTTTGTAGATAAATACACTGATGATTGACATGTGATTTGACACATCAATGTATTACAAGAAATGTGATTTTTGTCAGACTCTCGGATTTCTTAATATTAATTTTGAAAAAATCTTTTTATTTTTTCTTTTAATAGGTGCCCCAGCACTTACCACACGAGGAATGGTGGAAAAGGATTTTGTTAGAGTGGGTGAATTTTTAGATCGTGGCATTCAAATTGGCCTGGAAGTCAAAAGTAAAACAAGTAAGTTATTGATTAAATGGCTTTTTGATTTGTTTTATAAATGTCATGATTTTACATAGAGTAGCCAGAAGAAAGCCTTGATGTGGCAACCAGTCTAGGAGAAGGAAAATTCTGAATTCAAAACCAGTCTCCATCAGGCTATCTTGTCCTAGACACACCACTGCTGCCACACTGCAGTACAAGTGGTATACTGGGTGTAACAACAAAGTTATCCATGCCACAAAATGTTTAATATCTGAAAAATCACTAAACTAAATGAGTTTCTTTTTTCCAGGTTTTCAGATAAAATGTGTAGCCATCCTGACATCATTTGTTGTAAGAATCACTGAAAAACCATTTGTGTTATTTAGCTAAAAAGAGAGCAGGTTAAAATTGTTTTGTGTCTTACCAACTGAGCAATGGTGAGTGGAAAAAGATCATTCAAGTCTAAAGTAATGGTACCAACATTCATACTCTGGCTTCCATCTTCAAAGTCCATTCAAGAACCATCAAGAGAACATTTAATAAGTTTAAAAAAGAGGGAACAGTAAACAGGAGGTCACAACATGAAGAAGGATCATCATTTCAACTTAGAGCTAAAGAGATCAATTAGAAAAGATCCAACTCAATTCATAAGACGTTTGACATTTGAGAAAGATGTGACAGTCCAAAGAGCAGTGAAAAGGGCTTGAAAATGAAATCGTATGTGAAACACATGAGGCACCTTGTTACTTCAGGATAGAAAAAAGGTTAGAAAGGGTGAAGATCATCTTGAATATGTTATATATATATATATATATATGTGTGTGTGTGTATTTGAACTTTATTTCAATACTTCATGAGCTTCTAATCCTTAGCTATGATTAATGATGAACATATCATTTTCATTTATGATCGATTTCATCACGATTCTTGTATTAAGCTTGGAGAGTAATTATACATTCTTATTGCTCAAAGTAGAGTTCAATTGTGTTATGAAAACCTCGTAGATTTCCAGTAAGATATCTTTAATTATTTCTAAGATACAATGGTTCACAGCTTAATCTAACAATTGGACAATTTTGCTGCTACTTGGTGTGTGTGTATATGTATATATATATATATATATATATATATATATATATGGCCTGATAATCGCATTTAGCATAAAACAGACTGTCGCCTCTGGGTGTTGACTTCAATGTCTACCTTTATATTTACATTACATGCACTCTATCCCTAATATTGAGCACTTTAACCACCCACAAATACTTTAAACTATATTTTATCATATATATATATATATATATATATATATATAATATAGAGAGAGAGAAATTAATTTTATTTTTGACTGGAAGGCTAATAATTTCACTTGAAAATTTTTTTAATATCTTGAAGCATTTTCTTTGAAAGCTTAAAAACATTTTTATTATAGTTGTTGAGTTACTGTAAGTCATTGTCATTGAAAAATCACCTTGAAAAAAAGATCGTTTATTAAGTGAAATTTTAATCTGGAAAACTAAATTTTTTTTTCTTTTTTTTTTTTTTCCCCTTTCACCCCAAACAAGGTGGGAGTACCACTGGGGGTTACAGAGAGTTGGAGCAAGAGTAAAGAGGCATGATAGAGAAAAGGATGAAGAGAAGGAGAGGGAATTAGATCAAGGCATCTGAATATGTCGACTGACGTTGCATTTGAATAATTGAAGATTATAGCTATCAGAGAAGCGAGGAAGAGAGTTCCACAGATGGGAAGTGCAAGACATGAAGCTATTGGAGTAAAATAGACAGCTACATTTAACAGCTTCGACAGTGAAAGAGAGGGACTGTGATGCCAACCTAGTAGCACGTTTAAATTCATGCAGTTTGGGAACCAGTGAAAGTAGCTTGTTGGAGCAGTTACTGTGAAAGTATTTGTAGAAAAGACAGAGGGAAGTGATGTCACATCTGTGAGAAAATGACTGTAGACAAGATGCCATATCAGGACCAATCACATTGCATATCTGTCTCTGGATTTTGTCGAGGACCTTGAGATGAACAGCAGGGTCTCCAAACCATATATGGCAGCAGTATTCCATGCAAGGGCGAATGGTAGACAAAGATTTGAAGGATGGACGCAGGTGAGAAAAACTTTCTGGTGCGACACATAAAACCAACTTTCCTTGCAGTAGATGAAGCTATTGATTCAGTGTATTTGTTCCGTCTCGGGTCAGTGGACAGTGTGAGACCAGGCAAGCACAGAGAGGCACTCTCGTGGAGTTGAGCATCAGACATTCTAATGGGAGGCAGAGTGGGTTCTCTGTGGTGGGTAAAAGAGAGCAGTTTTGTTTTTGGGGTGTTAAGGTTGTATTGTTCAAATTTACATTATTTAAATGCATTCTCTTGTTTGCTTATCTCTTTAATAAATCAATCTCTCTTAATTTATAGACAGTTTGTACATTAATTGATTAACCCCTTAAGCACTCAGGCACACAGTATTTATCAAAATATCAGAATTATTCATTTCTTGTATGTTACCTTTCAAGTAAAATTTATTAATTTTTTTTCTTTTTTTTTTTTTTTTTTTTTTTATTTTTTTGTTTCCAGAGAATCTGAAAACATATCGAGCCTTTTTGCTGGAAGACCAAGGAATCCAAGAGAAATTGAAATCACTCACAGCAGAGGTTATGGCCTTTTCGAGTCAATTTAATATGCCAGGAAGGGACTTGTAACATTAATAAAAATTAACATCTGACATGTACAATTCCATTCAGGTTATTACTGTGGGCAATGATTCTTTTTTTACTTACTATATAAAAGCTAAACCTATACAGTTAAGATAACAATAGTATTAAGTTATTTGAATTCTGGAATAAAGTGTTTTTATTTATTTATTTTTTAACACATTTTATTATGACGTTCTTGATTGACTGCCCTCCAATCATTTTCTGATGAGAATTGACCTCACACCCATCCATCATGGAAGCTTGTCTTGCATAGATGAGGCCTTAACTAATTTGTCTACAGAACTATATAATAGTTCAACAAAATCCAAGTCTATAATTGTGTTACTCTTTCCTTTATTTGCTCCTTGCCTGGAAATTTTAAAAATCTCCATGATGGAGACATCTCTCTTCTTTTATGTAGTTGCACAATATTTCTGCAAATGAAGATTTTTTGTATTTAGGTGCACAATATGAATATGGATGAAAATCTTTAAATAGGCAGAGATTAATCTGGCATTGCAGACATCAGATAATACCTTAAGGTAAGAAATATTTTCTTGGATAAATTACAAGAATACAGGTTCTGACCAATACTATTAAGCTATTCAAAGAGAAGCCAAACCTGAGAATATATCTATTTTTTTTCTCTTATGAGTTCAGCCATCTTGTTTTTAGCAGAGAATGCATTGAGCAGTCCACTTGTTCTGATGGTTTAAAATCTGGTGTCTGTTGATCAGGGAATTTCAAACTAAATGCTTTATTTAATCTACGGGGGTAGATTGTTCTTGTTCTGCTGTCCATGTCTACGGACATCTTGTTTTGTTCTCTTTTTAGTACTGCTGAAAATAAAATTATGTATACAAGTTTTATTAAAGATGACTGACAAGGTACTGTGATTGAACTTTCTATTCAATTTTTCTTGCATAAAAAAAACATTCCCATCACTATAGATACACATATATAAACATTTACATAATCAGTTAAAAAAAAAAAAATGTTCTTGATAATGACTAATAGAATAGCCAAAAGCCCTCAGATATATTTAACATTTGGACTTTTTTTTTTTTTACACACTTTATATCCAAAAAAGAGAATACTTGTATGAATGCTAGAAAAATTTATAAAACGCTTAATTTCGGTACGTTGTCAATCCTCTTTAATGCAACTTATATAAAACAAGGATTGTTTCTCATATGCACACATACATACATATATATATATATATATATATATATATATATATATATATATAGACAAGAGGAAAAACTACACTTAGCCAAAGTTACAGCTAAGTATAGTTTTTCCTCATCATTTTTATTCATTTTGTCTCTTCTACATATACACTCCACCAGAGAATATTCACATACACACACACGTATATATATGTATTAAATGGTGCAGTATAATTATGATTATAAAGAAGTAGTCATACAAAGAATAAATCAGTAAAGTTAATGTAATTAATAGTGATTTCACTTTGCTAACAGATTTAATAAAGCATTAACTTACTAAACACTCATTGAATTATGTGATCCTTTATTTTTAAAAATTGTAAAATGGATTAGATGTTCTATTGATGTGCTAGCACTTTTCATAATTCTCATATTATCATCAGGCATAAATATTATTATTTTCATTTTCAGATAACTTCAGGTAACTTCCAAGAGGAAAATAAATGTAATACAGGTCGAAAGATCTTTTTTTTTAAGAGTGTGTTATTATTAATGGTTACATAATTTTGGAGTGTGCCTGATGATGATATGAGAATTATTGAAAGTACTAGTGCATCAATGGAGCATCTAATCCATTTTACAATTTTTAAAAGCAAGGACCGCATAATTCAAAGAGCGGTTAGTAAGTTAATGCTTTATTAAATCTGTTAGCGAAGTGAATTTGCCATTAATTAAATTACTGATTTATTCTTTGTACGACTACTACTTTATTATATATATATATATGGGCAGTAACATTTCTTTTTAATATGAAAGACAAGGAAAATATTAATTTTTTATTTAGTTTTTCCACTGTTCTTACATTTTTTTTCCATTTGGTAGAAGTGAGGAAGTACAAAAGCTGAATGGTTAGTATAGACAGTTTTTGTATTCCCTCGGAAAAAAAATAAATAAAAAAAAAAAAAAACTTGTCCATCATATTTAACGAAAGATATAAGTTTTGTTGAAAATGACTGACAAAGTGTTGTGGTTGAGATTTTTTTATATAATTTCTCGTATGTTCTTATAATTTTTTTTTTTTTTTTTTCAGGACATAAATTATATAAAAATTGTCTGATTGTTTTCCAAGCACTTTCGACTATATTTTAGCCATTATCAAGGATGCATTTTATTTTATTTTTAACTGAATATATGGATTGTTTTATGTATGTATCAAACAGTATTAATTACATTAATGTTTGAGAAATTTTGTAGAAAATATGCATTCTCTGACAGGAATTGAACCTGTATCCTATATATATATATATAGGAAATATTTATCAATCTAACATGTTTCACTTTTATTAGAGCTTCATCAGAGAATGAGATATGGAGAGAAAACAAATTTTGTATTTTTATAGTAAATGATGCACCTGTTCCTCTTGTAATTGTAAAACCTTTTTAGTTTCCAATTTTGTTTACCCATTGGCAATGACAATCTTGAAATTTTATCAAAGATTATAATCTAATATATCCAGAAATAATTTGGAAAAATATATTTGAAAATTGAATCTGTTTTATTGGAACTGTTTTTAGATTAGATTTTTAATCATTTTTTCCCATTTTTCTCTGGAAGCTTGACAATGTTTTTGGTATGATGTTTCCTAAGATATCTTGCTGAACTTATCACTGAAAAAGATGTCAAAAATGAAAAAAATTGACAGTGTCAAAAAGTCTTGAATATTTTTTCTTCATTTATTTGAAACTGCTTTTTCTTTCACTTCTTTTTTAATTCTTTTTTTCTTTGCAATTCTAAAATCTTTTATGGATTTATAAATCTTTAATTGCTTTTTAAATCATTTCGAACCAAACCAAACCAAAATCAAACTTACAAATGAAAATTAGATTTCAAACTTTTATATTTTTAAAGAAAGTTTTTACAATGTTGCAATTTGTATTTTATTTTTACTGCAAACTTACTTCCTATAAATATTTTGCATTTTATTATGTCAATAACTTAATGTTGTTCAAATTATGAAATATATATTTTTATAGTCTCATTTTTTTTCCTTGCTTTTGTTTTCTGGAATTAGGTTGCTTTGTTTCCACTTTAAATTTCATTGTATAAGAAAAAAATAAGTACTTAACTGTTATATGATTGAGTTATCACTTTTTATAGTGTCCTGTCTCCAGATAGTGATATGATGACAGTATTATAATTAAATACTATTTTAAAATTAAACAAATTTTTTATTTGCATTAACAAATTTGTACTTAATGTTAACTTTATTCCAAAAGCAAAATTATTTTTTTCTCTTACATACAGAACAAAGATCTATAATCTAGAAAGGATTTACATCTAAAAAGAAATACTTAATTGCATTCACAAAACTTCATTAGTTTTAAAAATAATTAAATTGGAAATATGAATTGATAAAATCACTTGTGCCTTTTACATGACCTACTTTATATAAGGTCTTCAAATTATTATTCTACATAGTTCTCAATCTTTCAAATATATATTCTTTGTTTGGCTGATCATTTGAAACTTGTCTAAAGTCACATTTATCTTTCTTTTAAGTTGGTACATGAGTCAAATGCTGCTGTTTGTTTAACAAAGTCACTTTTTTCTCAAATGTTGTTTAATGAAGAATCATTTAAAAAAAAAAAAATAAATAAACTACAGTAAGATTTAATAAAAAGTATTGTTTTAATACATTTACCTTGCAGAATTTGTATTTTCCTGCAATATTTTTTAAATAAATGAAAAATAAAACAATTTTATGCTGGTCATTATTTCATCTTGTCATTTTTCATTTTATTGAATCTGTTGACCCTTCTGAAAATATCTAGATCTCTAATTAAATGTTTCATAACATACATGGACCTTTTCAGATATTTAACCATACAAATGAAGGTTGTGTTTTATTTGCAGGTAAGCAGTCATTTCTGGTAGAGTTAATGATTGTTGCATTTCTGCTTTCTTTTTAATTTGAATATTTTTCCAGCATATATATATATATATATATATATATAATGTGTGTGTCTGTCTTCTCAGTACTTGCAGATTATATATTTATGTGCAGGGTCATAGCAGTTGTTAGCATACAAAAATGGAATTGGAAACTGAGTTTGTTTACAATAATACCTTTTTGAGTCAACTTCTTTCTGTGCTTATCTCATCACAAGATATCTTTACAAAAGGTGAATGAGCTCATATAAAATCACTCAATTTGCCAAAGCAGAAGTTGTTAAAATTGTTGTTGCCATTGTCAACCTTGACATTGTTCAATCATAAGGGGTTTCTGCCATGACTCAATAGAAACCTGTCTATCAGACTATTCCGTAGTTGCTGATCTTCACAAAATTACCTGACTAAATATTTTAAGGGTACCATCTGTAGTGTAAAGGTTAACAAGTTTGACTTGCAAACCATTTGGTACTATCACTATTGCAACTTTGTGCAGACTAAGTTACCATTAGTAAATAACTATCATTCAAATTTGAAAAGAAAACACTTATGAAATTTATCCAGAGTTGTTTTCATTGATAAGGCAGTCACATGATCAGCTGCATTTTTTAATGATCCTTAAACAGTCTTTTTTATGCAGCTGGTAGACAAGTAATTTTTTCTTTCTTTTTCTTTGTTTATTTCTTCTTTCTTCCTTTTTCTCTTTCTTTTTTTCTCTCTCTTTTTTTTTTTTTTTTTTTTTTTTTTTTCATGAAAAATTTTGTGCTGAATGAGCTTTATATTTTTTATTTTTAAATTGATTTGTGTTTACCTTTTTGTGAGGGGGGGGAATTATTTTCATTTTAGTCAAGGAATATTGTGAAGTTTTCGTTTAGTGGTGCCTAGAGAATTCAGTCTATAGTAATGTTGTTATTGCATGGTGACTGACAGTTTCATACCTCCATGCACATTTCAGTCCATGATCTGAAAGTCACTTGTGGCTTGAAACAGAAATCGACACTGAATGGTGACTGTCAATCTCCGCATAGTTGATATCTAACAACATTGATATTGAACACTCTTCCCCAAATTCTAAACAAATTTGAACATTGTGTATGTCCATGTATATTCTAAATGATTGATATTTACTGAAATTTCAAAATGAAGGGAAAAACATTGTTTCTCTCTTGTGATAAGAGCTTGACTGCCTTGAAAAGGAATTTTTCAAAGTTCTGGCCTTTGATAGTACACAGGGCCAGAAGATAGCAAATAAAACTAGGATGATAATGTTTCACCAATGTAAGTGGTTAGACTTACTTACCCTGAAAATCATGATTTGACAACCTGCCTTTTTCCTTTACACCAATCCCTGGAACAGTTGAGAAATATGAAATGAAGCAAACCCCCAAATAATGTACAACTGTCACTAAATAACTCTTAACAGGAAAATATTACTAAAATGTTCTTTTTATGAAATGTTCTTTTTATGAAATGTTCTTTTTAAATGACTATGGTCTTAATGTAAAAATAGAGATGATGTTTTTCTTTGTGTAGGAATTTTTTTCTTTAAGAAATCTACAGTCATAAACAACAAAGACTTAAAAGAGTTGAAAGATATAACAAGACAGATGACATGGTCAAACAAATTGCATGGGCCAGAATTTCTGCTGTTTTGGGATCAAACTGAACAGTGCCGCCTGCAAAAAAGAAAAAAGATAATGCAATTGTATACTATTTAAAACTGAAAAGGGGAAGGATTAATTCATAGCAATTAGTGAGGTTTGGTTGCAGGACAACCAATTCCACAACACAAGCAAATACAAAAAGACCTGTCTTTACTATGACAGCAAATTTATCTCACAGACCATTGAAAGGGAGATGAGTTTGATCTTCAAGCCTTAGATGGTTACGGTTCACAAGATTATTGTGAGCTTAGTGCAGCCTTGTAAATGATGGATTATTTTCCATCCTACAACCTTTTTTTTGCTGCAGACATTGCTACTCTGTTGCTATGTCAGTGGAAAATCTTCTAACAAGCTATATTCTCTAGTTCTATTAGTTCAGACCTTTACATCAAAGACCCGTCATACCATGTACAGGGACAAAACATCTTCGTTCACTTTTTATTCCATTAGTAAGAAGGAAATTTAATTCTGATAGCTTCTTTCTGAGAGCTGCTGTTTTGTAGAACAAACTCGAGAGAGGATGCTTTCCTAACTATTGCAATCTTAACCTCTTCAATTCTAGGGTCAACCATTATTTATCCAACATACACCCATAATCTAGACTTCTTACCTTCTTTAATAATTTAATTAATGTAATGACGTTAGGTTATCAGCTTGTTACAGGAGTCATCAATTTTCTTGTATTGAGAGGAGATATGTGGTGTGTAATGGTTGTAATGAGGATATTACTGTGATAGCAGATTTTTTTTCAACAAGATGTGTAGTGATAATAACGAGTAGTTTGCAATGTGAGACATTTTTCAAGGATTAAGAAGTACCTCACAGGGAAAAAACGAAACCCGTCACTATGACATCCTGTGAGTGAAGAGAAACACGGCCTGGGCCCTATGCTTTATATAATGCCACCAAGCATTCATAAAGAAAAGTCCTCCTAGTAGATACTATAGTAATCCCACAAAGAATATTGCTGTTATTATCACAATGTTTTTTAGTTTACAACAGCTGAAACACTGATAATAATAACAGCAAAGATGAAGATGATAATCGGCATGCAAATAATGATATCTTCTCATCTCAGGAATTCAGACAGAAATTAATCCCAGAAAATACAAGTAATCTTCATGCTGGTAATTTTGGTGATTGTTGTTTTAAAGGAAGCAAGTTGTTTTTGGGATTTTAGGTTGAGATATATATATATTTAATTTAAAAAAAAAAAAAAAAAACTCAATCTTCACTTTTTTTAGAGCTCTCATGAAAAAAATTATTACCTATGGGATTTTAAGTGTTTGATATTCTTTAATTAATAATTTTGCTCTGTCTTTTGACATAGAGATCTCCCTGGATCTATATACTCCTGGAAATTCCATATGGATTACCATATTGCATCATTACTAATATATATTTTTAAAATATCAAATGAAAGACTGATTATGAGTTTTTTCATACTCACCTAATGTAAAGTAGACAACTTCACTCATTTTACCATCTCCTCCTTCACTGTAGCCAAGAACACGTAATTTGTAAATTTTGTCTTTTTCTAAATTGTCCACAATTCCTTCAGAGACTCTATCAAAGTCATAATAATTGTTGCAATAAATATTTTCTGTAATTCCACAAACCCGAATCTGCAAAAGAAGAAAATCAGGAATATTTATTCAAACTGAAATAGGAAAATTCAATGGACAACTCAATAGCATTGTTATAGATTGAAGTCAAAATGCCAAATTTAATCTTCTGTTTCCTTAGTTTCTGCAAAAAGTAAGGGCGGGGGCTTCAACCCTCGCACCAACACCAGATGTGTGCCAGAGTAAGCAAACATTATTAAAGAAAAAAACAAAAAACAGTGCAGTGATTTTGAAATATTAACTTATTTAATACAATAAGGTTGAAAAGATTTTGCCATCCATGATCATTCAAATGGGAATAGCTTGTCTTGAAATCACTAGTCCTGATGCTTTCCTTTGTTCAAACACCAACTGCTAGCACCAATCGGGACTAAGCAATTGTCTCGGCCACAAGGCAAGTCTGTAATACTTCTCATTATTTTTTTTAACTCTTTAGCTGTCTTTTCAATATTTCATTTTTCTTTTATTTAGTGTGATACAGCATACGATAATAAATTTGAAAAGAAAATGCATTGCACTAATCTTTTAAGTGTGGTTGATCTGTTTGCCTTGAAAATCAGCATTTGAGAACTTTTTTTATTTTTTTTTTTCTAAATTGGACTCAAACATTGACTTCTGGTGATAGTAGAGTATATACAACTATTTCAACCACCAAGTAGAATCTTGAAGCAATTTCCTTTCTCTCAGATTACATTTACAAGGAAGTCGTCATACTGACCTATGAAAACATGAGACTGAAATCTCTTGTATATTAGATTTTATTTCATTCCAATGCTTTGTCTATTTGACTAGTGTGTATAAGTGGCCTTGGACTCCACATCCAAAATGTGGACCTTACATTCTTGTCTGCATTGTCTGAGAGACTGCCCTCCTCCTCTCTAAGGTAGGTGTTTATATATCTGTGATACAACCACTTCCCATGCATGCATTCCAGGTGCTACTGGCCCAATCACAGCACTCTTTACTCAGTGATTAGGATGTCATCCCCCAGGTCATCTCTGCACTTACCTTATCTGAATGTCACTGAGTGCAAAGTCTATCCTGGCATGATCTGTGGTGAGGTATTACACATTTTACTAAAACATATTTCGGTTCACCAAGTCACTTAATTTTCCTAAATGTCAGATGATATTTCATCGTTTTTATTCCTTTTTCAACAAAGTTGTGTATTTTTCTTTATTTTAATGTTAGTTGTGGACTCGTGGTCATATTTCACTTTCAATAATAGCCTGTACCTTCTTTGACTAACTGCCAATAGCAGTTGTAAATCTAATTCTTATTTAAATGTCTAAAATACTTACTCTATAGCCAGCCAATGCCATCTCACCCACTCGAGTAGTAACAATCCCTCTCCATGTTACACGGACGCTGTTTGGGCCATGGGAATGCACAAATACTTCAGTCGGATAATTGATAGGAGCTGAAAAGAAAGAGAAAATAGCATAAAATGACTCATCAAAACATTTTTATATAAAAATAGTAATGCTTTTTTTTTTTTTTTTTTTAAATGTTGCCTTATTTCAAATACTGGATTAATCTATATCAAATCATATAGTTTTCATGGAGACTTAAGAAATATTCTTACATTTTTGAAACTTCAGTTGTTAACATTTGTTTGAGAGACAAATGAATCTGGAAAATTACATCTTGATTGAACTATCTCGTGAACTGGAAGCATGTTTTTGGCACTTCATAACTTTGGTATTCATTTCTATTTTAATGTTGAAATTCACTCAATCAAAGGCTCAGAAGCCACTCAAACTTCATGAATTTAAGTGTTCTACTAGGCTGGTATCTTGCTCTCACCCTTTCACTGTCAAAACTGTTAAAGGTCTCTTCTATGCCAATAGCTTCATGTCGCGCACCTCTCACATGTGGAACTCCCTCCCCTCTTCATGTCTCCCTGATAGCTATAATCTCCAACTATTCAAATGTAATGTCAATCAACGTCTCCAGATGCCTTGATCTATCCCCTATCCTTCTCTTCATCTTTTCCTCTATCATTCCTATTTGCTTTAGTTCTAACTCTCTGTAATCCCTTGTGTTCTAGTGGCTTCCCACCTTGCTTGGGGTGAAACGCTTGAAAAAAAAAGAAAAAGTAGGATAGATAATGATTAATCCTTTATTTAAAAAGGTTAAGATTGTAGTGTAAAGAGATGACTGTCAAAATGGTCATGATGAATGAAGTGTTATGAATGAAATAGGAGGTTGCAGAAAGTTAAAATTATGCAGATAAGAAGAATAGATTAACAATAGATCGCTGTCTTTGTAATGTTTATGGAAGCATTCATGGAGAAAAAAAAAAAAAGCTGAGTAAGTGGAACTTTTTTACATTTGGAATTCGAGGAAACAAGAGTGCTTTGACTCTGTTAGAAATGACATAATATATCCAAACTGTAAAAGTCTGAACTGGTGGAACTAAAGAATGGAGCCCATCTGAACATTTGCCATGGAAATAGCAACAGAAGCTTGCAACTTTGCAGCCTCTTTCCTACAACTACAGAGTGGAGATTAAGTCCCATAGGAGCATATTAAAATTTTGAACTTTCTGGAATAATGGCCACTTTCTGGAATAACAAGATATCAAACTGAGATTTTATGTACATTATTTACATTATTTGGACTATTGTCTTCATCTTTGTTGCCATATTTATTACATAATAAATATAGCGACAAAGATGAGGACAATCGTCCAAATAATGTACATAATACCTCATCTAAGAAATATAGACAGATACTGAGATTTTATGTTTATAATTACCCTACCAAACAAGTAATTTCTAGCTTCATTTTATCAATATTCTCAGTGCTTGGCATTATAGATCCCTATTGAATATTTTTATATACATACTGAGCTTAGTTAATATAAGGAGGAAGAGTGTGTTGGAATAGTTTTCAAAAGAGTAAATGTGTTTAATAAGATTTTCTTAAGTAGGAAGGCTCTGCTTACTTTCCTTTAAACTGTTGGCTTTTTATCCGGATTTTGATGTCACAAGTGTTTACAACTACCACAGTAATAAATGAAAATCACCTATAGTCATACTGTTATAGCATTCAAAATGTTGAGTGGAAGTAATGTACCATCTTAATCATTTAACACTGTCTGTAAATGTTATATATAAAATGCTTGGAGAAAAGTAATAATATATAAAATGTCTTTATTGAAATGAATACCTGCATACGGAACTTCATTCATATAGTTCTCACTTGGAGGGCCCAGTCCTGCGGAGTTGTACACTTGTACATTTGTCCAATAATTTGTATCTGAAAATAGTCCGATGATCAATCCGCTCTCCACTTGTCCTGGATAGCGTATAAATCTTATTAGGGGATCCTCTTCACCATCCATCCAATAATTGATCTGTCAAGATAAATAAATTCATCATACATTAGCAGTATAAACAAATATTTGATTACTTGGCAATATGTCTTTGGTCACAAAATCACAGATATATATATATATAAATTGGCCCACTCTCTGGAACTAACAGAATAAACAAAAATGTCATTGAATATATACAAGGTCTGATCAAAAACTGTCAGGCTGGTGCTGTAAAAAGAAAACTACAACACATACTAATTCAGCATTTAAGCTCCTTTGAAGTAGTTCCCCTCTGAAACTATATACTATATCCAGCACTGTTTTCATTGATGGAAGCATTCTTGGGACTCCTTTTTGAGATAGCAAGCAGCTGCTTGGTCACATTCTCTTGGATTTCCTTTATTTGAGTTTTGGAAAGAGGAAAAAGTTGCAAGTGGTGATATCTGGGAATTATGGTGGTTGTTGAACTTGGGGAATGTTGTCTTTGGCCAAAAACTGCTGCACAAGATATGGTGTTGGAGACATGCAAGTTCTTTTCTGATCAACGGCATCTTGTAAATGCCCACAACATGTCACTGCAGTGCTCTTTGTTTACTGTCTGACTAGTTAGAACATACTCAAGATGAACAATTCCTTTGGAGTGGAAGAAAACTGTCAACAGTGTCTTCACATTGTATCTACTCATTAATGCTTTCTTTGGTCTCAGAATGGTAGGGTGTCTTGGTTTTGGGGTTCATAGCCATAGACACACAATTCATCACCTTTTATGACCATTTTCAAAATGTTTTCTGTGGTGTGATGAGACGACCACAGTCTACACACTTTCTTTCAAAGAACAGAAGTGAGTGAAAATGCTATAACTTAGTGTGCATACATAACAGAATTCAAGGTCAGTCTGTGCCAAGCGACTTCGCTGTGTACTTTAGTTCCATTATCATAACAGTCCTGATGCCTTTTTGATCAAACCCCATATGCTCGCCTCAGGAAAAAACAACAAAGAATGAAGGACATTGTAATAAATGCACATAGTAGACCATATGACAAATATGTCAACAAAGTATATACAAAGAAGTATAATAAATAAGAGTACAAAACAATGCAAGATGCACAAGGCAATACAATACATACACAAGACAATATAATGTATAGAATACATTGCAATAAGTACATATACGAGGCATGGTATGAGATAATATATTCAATATGAAATAATAAATGTATACATAGGACAATGTAATAAACATATACTTGCGGCAATTCAATGAATGCATACACATAACATTGCAATTATCTACAGACACTATTCAAAGGCATGTAGGCCATTGACTTTACAGGTTTATTATAACTATGTCAGTCAGTTAGGTCCCATATGTAGGCGCTCATGTATCTTTTGATGCATGACTCATGAGGCAGAATTTTCCCTGCCGTAGATCACTATTTCTTTCTGCAGTAGACTGGTTGCCAATCAAGGCTAAAGAACCCAGTCTCTCCTGCTATGGGAGAAGAGATGGATTCATACCTTTCCCTAAAGTAATTGTGCATAAATGAATTTAACAAATGCGACTTGAATTTGAACTTGGTTCTCCGAGTTCTCAATCTGAGCCAATATCCATTACACTACAATGCACATATGTACCAAGCTATAAAAATATCCTTGCCAGCTCCCCCCCTCAGTGCAATGTTGTTAGAGCGTCTTTCTGTAATATACAGGTAAGGGATAAAATGCTGACAAACTAGTGTCCTTGAAAATGTTTAAAAGCATTTGGAAACCTTATTTTTCTTTTTAATTCTAACGTTTGTGCAATGGAGTGATTTTTTTTTTATGTCTATAACTCTATATTGCGAATAAACCTCATTGTTATATTTTGAAGTCAATTTTGAAACTTATAGAAAATTTCAAAAACGTATCTCTCGTATAATTTGCTCACAATATATTAACACAGAAGGCTCAGTGATTATTAAGACACTTAAAACAGTAAAACGTAAGGACTAATATCCTCATCTTTGTTGTTGTTCTCACAATGTTTCAGTCATTATGCCATCCAGCTTTCGTTAGTTGTTTATCTGGGTATACAGTATTTGTACAGCTTCCCAGTGAGGCCAGTGTTTGAAAGTTTCATCTATGCGTCTCAGTCATGCTGACATACTTAAAACAGTGTCTTGGATTAAACATTATGTGTTCAATAGTCTAGATGTTTTTTTTTTGTTATTTTTTACTGGATCCAATTTTGAAATAAAAATTTTATCATTGATATAACTTGAAATACAATCACATAGAAGACAGTAATTTCTGGAATGTTTTAATGATTAGCACATTTTACTTAATAGCTTTCTTGGCTACCATACTTTAGGGAATAAATATATAATATATAAAAATATATTATATATAAATATTGATTTTCTAAGTGAGGCTTAGATGTGACACATGGCCAAAAGTATGGGGCACCCATTGAGGATCGAACTCACTATTTAGTTGTAACAGTTTTAGCAAGACCAGTTTTTAACCATTACACCATGCTGAGAGAGAGAGAGGAGGGCTGAGGGCTTTTAATTTATCTTTATATCTTTAAGTTTTAAGAGAGGAAAGTCACCTACCTGATAGCCAAGAACTTGTCCTTTCATAACTTCCCGGATGTTTGGAACTTTTATCCAGGTTACCTCAAGAGCTGATCCATTGTAACCATCACACATAACATCAGTTGCAACGCCCACAGGAACTAAAGGAAGATATTGTAGCGAGAGACAAAGTTATTTTCTCTTGATCCCAAGCAAAAATAGCAATAAAAATTAACTATAAATATTCACGAGAACAGAAATAGTCACGTGACCTGATGAGACCCGCACTAGACATCGTTGGGTGGAAAAGTTAATCTTCCTCTTTTTGCTCCTGGAAGTTACTGTAACAATATGTACCATTTCAGGCTCGTGACAACCAAACAGATAAGTACAAAATTCATATTGTTTTTGGTACCCAGTCTTTTGGAAGTAGATATATGCAAATGTTGTATTAAGAATTTCGAATATATATATATATATATATATATATATATATATATATATATATTTGAAATTCTTATATATATATATATATATATATATATATATATATATTGTTATACGTTATTTATATATATGCAAATATTTAAGTAAAAGCTCTCTTTATAATAAACAGTATTAACAACATTTACCAGCCTGAAGGTCAGAAATTTTCATAGAAAATATGTGTCAATGAACTGGTATCCTACACGGAATCGTCATATAGCCTGACGTGCTATACCAGTTTAGCTACGAAGGGCGTCTGGTAAACAAGGTGTATTTTACTGCTTTTAAACTACAAACTTCCCATGATTTCCTTCGAACGTCTATATCTGCCCGAAGCATATCTTAACGTAAACAAATGACGTCACACACTACGAAATGAACTAAGTCCGACAATTATTTTGAATATATTTTATTGTTATACGTTATTTATATATACACAAATATTTAAGTAAATGCTCTGTTTATAATAAACAGTATTAACACATTTACCGGCCTGATACTGTTAATACTGTTTATTATAAACAGAGCATTTACTTAAATGTTTGTGTATATGTTATTTACCGTACCTATGAACACTAATGGGTACGTCCCAATCCTCATAAATACGTTGAACACTATTGTAAGTGGGGGTAATATGCTGTCTAAGTAGTCCACCACTAGCAGTGGTTTACCTATTTCACGCCGCTGGCGAGTATTGTATTTTGTTGACGTTATAAAGATTAGCATTTCGTTTAATAAACTCTGTTTTGGTTATTCCTCATTCAGTAAACCTTCCTAGGTTACAACAGTATATATAAATAATGTATAACAATAAAATATATAAAATATATTAAAATAATTGTTGGACTTAGTCCATTTCATATATATATTAATACGAAGACATACGTGTTTTGTTTGTGTTGAGGGGTCCACCCCTTTTTACACAAATGGACTCACCCAGTATATACATACACTACGGCTACGTGAAGACCCGAGAGAGCAACACCGAAGAGTCGAGTCCAGAGTGACAGAGTAAAAGGTTGTAGGTAACCGGAAGAGTGAGGGGTGAGGTAACAGCGTTGTAGGAGTCACAGTGAGCGAGCACGTAGACTCAGTAAGAAGTCATACAGCGATACTTCAATACCGAAGACTATATATATATTTTGCTACTAACACGTATTCCTGGAACTACTAACCTGCTTTACCAGTTTGTATTATTACGTTAATACATTATTTTCATATATTCATTCCTGGCGTTTGTTATTTATTGGTACCGGATTTCAACCCGGAATCCACAACAGTTTGAACTTTTTCATATACTTATGTTGTTGCGTGTTTTATACACCTTAAACAAGTTCTATGCTACTGTAGCGACCAACGATCACCTGCGACGACCTGCAGCGATCATCTGCAACGACCAACTTTCCCGTATACTACGGGAGGTTTCGACACTGACCTCGACCAGCAATGCCTGCACTGCAACGTCCAACCGTCGACACGACCGGAACGTCTGCACCACGACTCCAACCATCGACACGACCAGCCCGACCGCCATTACCTTGATTACCAGACCAATATACCCCACGGCCTCTCCTTTATAAATAAACTTAGCATTAATCACACATATCCTCGTTCTGTTGTCTATTTTGTTTCACCTTGTTAGATTTCACGTCTTTAATTCGAGAAACGTTAGCGGGCCTCTTGTGACCTCATCACCTACGATACGGGTGCGCTTGGGCCGTGGTTTCATATCATCCCCCTCCTCCAGGGGGTCTACTACACTACATATTCCTGCACAACAATATATACAAGGATAAAAGCGCAATTTAAAAAAAAATCTTTGTTATATTATGGGCTTTGTGGTTTTCGTTGTTACTTGTTGCTTTATCATCCCTTCGGGACAGCCTCCAGGGGGTCAATTTGAGGTCACCATACATAAACAAAATAACATACGAAAGAAGGGTTATCAAAACACTTTGTACAACAAATAATAATTTTCTTGACCAAGGATAAAATGTTCATTCGTATAAGAGAAATTGGATTATTAAAGGAATATAAGAGTCTGATAAAAGTTTAAGGCGTGCTGGTCAATTTCAAAAAATCTCCGGTGGTGAAGGAAGGCTTTTGTTATATACATTCTCTGACAGTACTTCATTTCTCTCACAGAAGTTTTATTATTTATTTGTGCCCATCGGCTCAAACCAGTCTGCTGAAGCAAACTGTTGGGTATGTCAAGCCGTTTTATTGGTGGAAATTAATTATTATTCTTTTTATTTCTTTTTATTTTCCACCGTTCTGCGTGGAGCCAAAGACCAGTATTGGTCATTTGCTATTTAGACCTCTGAGGGTTAACATCCGGTCCTTCGCTTGATCAACTAAAATTATGTTTTGTTAAATGATAAACAGTTTTGTCGCCACTACTTCTAGATCAACTAAAAGCAATTAAATGACAAACAGTTTATGTTCATAATAAAAACAATGTATTTACATAAAAATGATATTCTTTTCGACGCTGTAAGTGTGTGTGAGTGCATGTAAGTGACTTGACTATTGTTCCGTAATGGATGATGTTCAGAGTAAAAAAAATATAGGGTAAAAGAAAGATTCTTGAAATTTTGCGCCTTTTGTATTGATGCCAAGTGACCCTTGTCACATGGCTACATGTATAAGAAAGGTAATCCTATTTTCAGCACACCTATTTATCTATATTCTTGTTTATTTTCTTATTTTTCTTTATTGTTGCTTGGTCCTTACAAGTACCATGGCCTCATCACGCTAGTTGCTGCAGCTGTGGTTTCTGTAGCAAGTTTTTCTACTAACTCTACACCCAGCTGGTTTTAAATTCAGTGTTGTACTTCTTCTAGACTGGTTGCCAACCAAGGCTGGTCAGTCCAGTCTACCGTGCTATTAACGGGTAGCCGGGGAAAGGGAGATGATATAGATTTCTATATTTTTCAAGCGTATTTGTGTGAAAGCAAATGCAACGGCCTCGGCTGAAATTTGAACTCGACACACCAATCCCATTTTCTGCAAATAATGCCGAGTCATTATTTACCTTCCAGATTGGGGTACGCTCTGCATCAGCAACAAAAAAAAAAAAAAAATCCGAACCATTTTGGTCACAGAAGTGTTTTTGTTAAGTCAGGGATCTTTCTTATCTAATCTTTTGTTCTAATCTTATTCCACGCTATATGTTTGGTAACAGCAAAGTATTATTGGTTATAGTTTGAGATGCATTATTGCATGTTTTCATATTTTCTTTTGGTTATAGCTTCTTCAATTTCAACAATTTTAACCTAGGAGGCACGGTGGAATAATGGATAGCGGCTCAGATTGAGGAATCGGAGAATTCCAACTGAATCTATTACATTCATTACGTGCTAATACCTTTGGGTAAGATATGAATCCTCTTCTCCCACCAGCTATGGGTAAATAGCAGGACAGACCGGGTTCTATAGCCTTGGATGGCAACTGGTCTACCGCAGAAAGAAATGGCAACCTACTGCGGGGAAAAAATTTGCCGCGTCAGTCATGTATCGAAAGATATATGATCGCCTAAGCGTGTATCACGCATGGAACATAACTGACTGAACTGAATCTGAAATTGTTTAATTTGGAACAAAAATGTGTCAAATGAGTTTATCTTGTGTCACAAAATTTTAGGCATTTAAACCAGCGATGTTGTCATAATTGTTCTTAATGACTTTATGTCTTTTATTCCACGCTGTATTATTGACTACTTAGTAGCAATAGTAAAAGAATTTATTTAGTAGAAATAGAATTTATTTTGAGATTGTGAGATTAAGTATTTACATTGTTATTTATTTCTGACAAGTTTTTTTATCTTTTAGCTATTTCAAATCAACGTGTCTTTGGTAAGAATACAATTACAACAGTAGAAGAATTGAATGACTTTGGCAAATGAACAGATTAAATATTTAGAAATTCAATAATCAAATGTTTCCATTTTTATCAGTCAATAACCTATTCAGGAACAGAAAAGCCCAATACACTGCATCTGTGTCCCTAGTCAGGCAGCGGGACTGAGAGAGTGCCTGACTCAGTTGGCAGCACTTTAAGAATGTCTGGAGTCAGACGGCTGGGCTGTTTGTGTGTCTCGACTCAGGCAGTGGAACTGTAAGAGTGTCTGGACTCAGGACACACTTAGTCCCGCCACCTGAGTTTGGTGGCCGGAATGTAAGAGTGTGCTGACTCAGCCGTTGTGCCTGTAACATTGTCTCCACTCGGGCAGTGGGACTGCAGGAGTGTCCCAACACAGGCAATGTGATCGTAAGAGTATTTTTATTTATTTTTTTTTTTAAATATTTTTGGAAATTAATACGGTTCTTTCAATATCTTTTTAATGCAAATTATTTACATAATCAGTTTTAAAATGAATTCTGGATATGCGAACGAATGCTGAAAAATCTTTTCCTTGAACCACTTTCCAAAATCAGACCAAATAATTTATGTACCACCAAAAATGGATGTCTTTTTCCGAAATGAAAGCAAAAAATCGCTATCACTGTTTTGAAATATTTGCCAAAACTATAGAAATTTTCGGATTGAAACGATATTTTCAGGACTTATTTTTTAATAAGTAAATGTTTTAGCGAATAGATTATTTTATTAAAAAAAAAAAAAACTATGAGGAAATATTGTGATGATTCATACTTCAGAAAATATTTTCCCATAAATTTTTGTTATAAAAATAACCTTTTCAGTAAAATATTGACTAATGATTGGAACCTTAAAATTTTGAATCGAATAATTCCCTAATTTTTGGCAAATATTTTAAAACAGAATCTGTCAATTTTTTGATTTCATTGCGGAAAAAAATTTCTATTTTGGTGCTTGGGTATCTTAGTCGTGTCGAAAACTTTTCAGCACCCACTCATAGTGACAAAAAACGTCTAGCATGAGACACTAAAAAACCAATCAACTTGACACTTACGGTTCTCAGCCGACATGATGGTTTCTATGGTAGAGTTTGGGCCTTTTCCTTTCTCGTTGAATGCCTGGACTTTGACTTCGTATTCCAAATAATAGTTCTGCTCTCCCACTAAGGTCACTAAGTGGTCAGTATCGAAATTGAGAACTTTCTAAGTACAAAAGTATAAAGGAAAAAAAGGAATTAATTTGTAACTTCAAAATTATTTATTTAGTGTTTGTTTAGTCTAAAAACAATGAGTTAAAAAGTAAAACTGCAGTGTTACATCTACATTTCGTTTCGTTTTTTTACTTATAATAAAAACCCTTGTTTACCTCTGTGTTGGCGGCCGCTTTATTGTTGATTAGCTTGAACCGACATTTGAGAAGAAAGAACATAAATATTTTGCTGAAAATGATATTCGCTATAAAAACACATCACACACACACACACACACACACACACACACACACACACACACACACAATGTTTGATAGATATTTTCCTTAATTTATTTTTTAGAGAAAGGCTTATTTGCATTTTCATTTTCTCGCTGTTTTCGGGTTGGTGAGAATTTTCGTTCGGTTTATTCAATTAAGTCAAACAAAATCAGAGCTGGGTTAGGCAAGTGCAGAGCTAGTAATATATGTTAAAGAAGCCCGAATTACCCATGAATATTAAATTATAAATTATTTACTAGAATAGTGATTATAACACAGATAAATATTTTTAACTTTTCTCAACACGATAAACAAACCCAGAAAAATACGAGGCAAATGATCCTAAAGAGATATTTGAATAGATTTAAACAGCCTCGATATAACCTTAATTGAAAAGATGACAATTTAAAGATGACGTGCCTCCTACATGTAAACATTTAATTAATATTATCAAATCGTAACAAAAAGTATTGTTACACTTAATATCAGAAAAAAGACAACTGAAATCTCTAGGGGACATAATGTGGAAAGGGTTTGTAAAATTTGACACCCACAGGACATATTGAAGACAAGAAAGAGGAAAACAAGGCATAACCTTTCTAACGAACAAATGTAAGTAAATGTTATAAAAAATATTTTTATTGATTTCAAAACTATTGCTGTGGAATTTCCGGGTTCAGAAAACGTGACTCAAAAATTTTATTGAAGGAATTTTGCTGACGTCACGATTTTCTCAGTTTAGCAACAAGAAGTTGCTTTGACACTTGAACAATTTCGGCGGCAAACCTACGCGACTCATCCTGGCGGCTTAAGAATTAATGACATGACGACTCTCTTCGCAAAGCAACACCCAGTCCTTTTGCTAATACCAAGGTTAAGAATGAAATCACCACCAGCCAATCACTCTCTTTAAATCTATCGTCATGAAAACCCTGCGAGGCCTATTTAAGAAGTAAAAAAACAAAACAAAAATCTCACAAGACGGAGTCTGACATCTCTCAGTTGCGCCTTTGACTTCGGACAGAGCTCAATTCAATTGTGTCTCTGCATGCGGACAGAGCGCAACTGAGGAATAATGATAGATTGCCGGTCCCTCGGAACTGCTGCCCACAAGTCCTTTATTGCATTAAAGAGGGAGAGAGGTGGTAGCAATACCGTCGGCAACACAACCGACTGTTCCGGAAGCTCGGGTAGTCACGCTTGGGCTCTTCACGTTAAAGGACCTTGTGAAGTTTTTCAGTTATTTATCCTTTTTATGTAAATCAACAATATCGTATACCAAAACAAATAATAATAACAAAAAGACAATATTTATTAAGAGCTGCAAAGAAAGGACAAGGAAGTTGTGGTGAGCCATGATCGCCAACGTTCTGAAGGGACACTGCACATAGGAGAAGAAGATGCCGATTTCATGAGACAGCTTAATGTAATTAATGCACGGCCCCTCGAAAATGCGGGGCTCGTAGCATTTGCTATTTTTGTTACTAGGATAATCCTGTCCAGGTCAAAATAATAAACAAATATTTTTTAAAACCCTAACTTAATAAGAACAGCGTTACAAATTCACACAAAAGCTCTATTGACTGAACTTATTGTTTCATATATACATATATTTTAAAACATTTTTTATGTTTATACGTTCTTTTTATAGGTACAAATATTTAAGTAAATGCTCTGTTTATAATAAACAGTATTAACGACATTTACCGGCCTGAAGTTCCGAGAAATTTTCATAGAAAATATGCGTCTTCCGAAAACGGAACTGTCATATAGCCTGACGTGCTTTTACCGATTGAACCACAGAGGAGCGTTTCAGTTAGCAAGGTCGATTTTACTGTTTTTAAACTACACTTCCCCATGATTTTCTCTCGTACATTCATATCTGCTCGATGCGTATCCAAATGTAAACAAACGATGTCACACATTATGAAATGGACAAAGTCCGACAATTATTTTAAGACATTTTTTTTAATGTTTATACGTTCTTTTTATAGAAACATAGAAAATGTCTTAAAATAATTATCAGACTTTGTCCATTTCATAATACATATATTTATTAACCACTTATGAAAGTCAACTGAAAACTTTGTATATAAAAATGAGTTTGTTTTCCTTAAAGAATTTCCTTTTTCTCATATGTCTATTTCAATAGACTGTTACAATGGTAGAAGTGTATATACTTTTATTTCCTCTCATTTCCTGATCTAGTGCTTTTCAGGTCGACGACTATACTAGTAAGAGGATGTACATCTAACTTTTGTCGATTTCTCTCCCTGTTTTGTCCCATTGACCTACTACGACCGGTCAAAATATTGTAACGGAATATTCATTATCATTATCAATATAATAATAAACTTGCAGCATCTTCTGCAAGGAAAGTAGGTTCACTCTGTCGTGCCAGAAGATTTTTCTTGTCAGAGTCCATCTTACACATCAACAAATCTACCATTCGTTCATGGATTATTGCCATATTTGGTCCTGTGCACCCGCTGTTCATTTCGAGGTTCTCGACAAAATACAAAGATCTACAATGTAATCGGTCCTGACTTGACATTTCGACTTTTCTCATACACGTAACGTGGCTTCTCTCTGTCTTTTCTACAAATATTTTCATGGCAACTCTTCTGATGAGCTATCTTCCCTGATGCCCCGACCACACTTAAACGTGATACTAGATTGGCATCTAGGTCCCACCCTTTTACTGTTGAAATAGTTAAAATACAACCGCCACTTCTACTACAGCAGTTTCTTTTCTCGCACTTCCCGACAGTGAAACTCCCTTCCTCTTACTTGCTTCCCTGATAACTACAATCTTCAAAAATTTAAATGTAACGTCAATCGCCATCTTCTGTTGTTTTGATCCCCGTTCTTCTTTTATCCTTTTCTCAATCCCCTCTATACATAGTCTTTTCATTCTCAGTACTCCCTGCGTGCTAGTGGTACTCCCGCCTTGCTTGAGGTGAAATGCTTAATAAATAAATAAATAAAAAAATTGTTTAGTAGCCATTTACATATTTCCTCTGTGAACGTTTATAATATATAAATGCTAAATGGCAGTTATTTTCTGAACTCGAAGAAACAAATCTTCTATAGAATTTGAAGTTGCCTAAAAACAAAGTCCTTCCCACATCCACTTATCGCTAAATACTAAATTCATAATTCAAAGTAAGATGTGAAAGCAGGACGAATGAGAAGAGAAAAAAAAATGGAGTAAGCTGAAACACTGTTGGAAAAAAGAAAACTGATTCTTTTAACCGAATGTTCAAATGTTATCATAAAAATATATCCGTCAGAATTTTGAAATTTCTTACCTTTTCAAATCTAGTTTTCAAAGATTTTTTTCTCCAGTAGACAATATAACCAATATTCTGACCAGCCTGTTCTCCGGAATCAAGAGGCTGAAATAAGTAAGAAAAGAAAACCAGAAAATATTTTTTCCTTATCATCATCATCATCATCATCATCATCATCATCTAAGCTGACTTGAAATAATGAAATGTACATTTTTTTGGCTCCGTGAAATAAGATGGACTACAGTAAATATCCCATTGAGTATCACAGATTGGCTTGTCAGTTCCAGTTGGGCGTGTACCTAACGGGCCGATGTACTGTCCATCCCTGTTCATGAATGGGAGTAGTGTGACACCATGTGAAACACCCACGTAAAAGAGAAAATGTGTTTCTGTTTAATAGCTAGGGGAGGGGTTTTGAAGTCTAGTCTTCTAAGCAGCATCCAATTTGACCAAAAGGGAATGGAAGAGCAAATGAGTGGATGGGGACTTTTGGAGGACAAGTGACAACAAAAATGAACATAGAGCGTATCCAGTTGCTGATCTATACTGATAGTCACGCCTTGCATCGAGGGTGTCAGTTCTAGTAGACTGTTACAGAGTAAGAGGTACAGTTTATAGGGATATGTGGGGACGATAACAGTTTACCCTAAAATTGAAATGGCTAAGATTGTAGTGATCGGTGATCGGAGAGCATCCTCTTAGGAGTCGATTCCACAAAATAGCAGTTCGTGGAAAGAAGCCGTTCGAGTTGAACTCACGTCACACTAATGGAATACGAAGGGAATGAGGGTGGTTCGCTACAGTGGTGGGCCTTAACTGTGAAGACTAGATCTATGGAATATAGTTCGTCTGATCACTTTCGATGGAAAAATTGATAGAATACTGAGTGGTTTTGCAACGTTTCGTCTGTGTTAAACGGCTGGTAGGGTAGAAAATAAGTCATCACCCACAAACCCGCAGAGACGTTTTTGAACTCAAAGAGCCAGCTCAGGCCGAAAAATGAAGTACTGTTGCCATATCTGAGCAGGAGCTGATCAGTCTTCAAAGGTAGAGGATAGTAGGGGGAGTCAGGTACTTACAGGAGCGGTACAGGTAACCATCCGTTTTACCAGCATGTTTAACGATGGATTGTATGTACGAGTTCCTCTTAAGGTCTGGATTGAGCTTAAGTACTTATGAGTTGCTTTTGTTAAAAGTTCTCACCATATACATATACCTGGTATACCCTTATCAAACTGGGTGTGATGATGGGTACAATGGGTTACGTAAATTTATATCCCAGCGTCCCTTTGTTAGCACGGTGCTCTCTCAATAACAATAATAATAATAAAGCCCAGGTATAATATTTCTCAATAAAATCTCTCACAAACTGTCCTCGAAAGAGATATTTATAGTAAGGAGTCTTTTATGGTAAATTATTTAAACATCAGTAACAGATTTTTAACTGGCCTCCATCATTTAATGTATGTCAGTATGTTAATTTTGTTTAACCGCATAAACATGTCCAAATCGATATTGAAGGCCGATACATTTTCGATAATATAGGCGGGAGTTGATGATCCCAGTGCGTGGCGCCATTGACCCAAAATCTCTGAGTCGAAACTGTTCGGAATTTGTTGATGGTTGTGCTAGCATGAAGTCACAAGTCATCATGACCGAGGGTTTCCTTGTTCAGTTACTGAGCAGACCAGATAATGCGCTCTCTCCCAGAAACTGTAACTAAGGTCCGTTCAGCATAGATGCAGTAAAAGTCACAGGTTTGCTCTGTAGGTGTTGAAGAAACACAAATATGCCTGGCCGACGTTTACAAACGGGATTAGTTAATTACATTAATTCAAGTTTTTATTTTCCATACTTGATGTTTAAAATGAATATAATATAAATTTTTAACGGGAGTTTTAAAAATTTTTTTTAAATTACTTTTTTTTATCGTGATTTGAATAATTTTGTATTTCTCTTGTTAAAAATTACGTGCAGGATTTTAAAATTGTAAAAATTATAATAATTATCATAAGGTTGGAAAGAAAGATGATAAAGAAACAAATACTTCTATGTTCTCAATTGATCTACTTAATCAAAATAATATTTCCCCTCATTATGATATAACATAATCCTTTTCATTTGTCAAATTGTTGATTCCTCGTGTGTAAAATTATTCAGGCTTAAATATAAAGAAACATTCAGTTTTAACTTGTTCATAAAGTGTTTTCTCGCAGAAACATATTACAATGATCTGAAAAGTTAATTGACAGATGGAGCAAAGTCAGGAGAGTAAGGAGGATGAGGCAAAATCTTTTATTGTTAGTGCCATAATCTTTTCCTGGCTAGGACAACAGTCTTGCAGTATCGTGTAAGAACAACACGTTTTTACGATTGACCAATGATGAGTAATCTTGAGCACTTTTTTGTGCAACACTCCCAATTGACGATAATACATCTTCGCATTAACTGTTTCTTGTTGGTTTAGCATATCCCACCAAACATAGAGCATAACATTTTTCGTGTTTAGTCTTAGTTTGGGGATGCATTCTCCTTTTTCAGTGGGTGATAATAGGGTTTGTGACGTACGGTGGCCGTTAATAATTAAGTATAACTCATTACTTCAATGTTAAATAAATCAGTATTTATGTACAACCGCAAATAAATACTTTACAAGAACAAAGAAGTAAAAGTCAACCAAAGATGATTAACCATTTCAGTGAATACTTTGTTAGTAGCGCGGCTCGGCTTAACGTCCGGTAAATCCTAAATCAAAAGCCAAATCATCGACACACAATAATTCACACTAATTCGACTGGATAGTTCCACTCAATAGTCACTCAAAAATAACTCAGTCAGTAGTCTGACACCGCTATTTATACGCCTGGCGGAAAAACATATATTCATAAGTACAGAGTGTCACGCTCGAACCTCGGTATCAGTAGTTACCTATTTTCGTCTTGTATGACAATAGGCAAGCGTATAAATAACCCATTCACACTCGGCATTCCCTGCTGCTAAAGATTTTTGTTTAAAGTTTTACGGAAAAGGTATTTAATGAGGGGCCCAAAGCAAGCATTCTGCTGAGGGCTAGAGTTTGGTTCACACAGTACTGTTCCTATGATCAATGAGATTTAAATCTTGATATTGTTTGAAAACCTTACAAATCATTTGATGGCATCCACAAATATCAGCAGAGAATTACCTTCCATCAAGACAAGTACAATAAACAAGGAATCAAACAACCAAAAAATTTCTAACGTTTCATGTTCATTGTCAAATGTTTTTGTTTCCTTTTTGTAAATTGAGATTATATAAAAACAAAGCATCAAAAACAACTGACCTTCCAAGTAATAGTCAAGACACCCACGCTGCCTCCTCCTCCACCAACGTGACTCGGAGACTTCTGGGGTGGGGCTGACGGAGTGCGGTAAACAACTGCAATAAAAAACGCAAAGATCTGATGAGTTTCGTTTTGTCATTTTCAAAATCTTTATTAAAAATAATTAAGTTGGACACCAAATACTAATCCATAAAACACAAAAGAGATTTGAATTTCACTTGTTTACAATCTTTTTAAAAAATAGAGAATAGGATACATTTTAAAACGTTTTAGTCCCAAGAAAAATGTACTGGTGTATACACTGACGTCACAGAAAGACGTTAAATTTTTACAATAAACCGCAACTATACAATTCTGTACGCACAACGTGTGAAAGCACGTAGGATACCCTGTCCTCGTCAGCCACCCGCAGGTAACACAGTTTGGGTGGCTAAGGCGGTACTGCCACCCCTTGCGCCACCAGCAGCTTTTGCCACCGGACAGAGTTTTTGTATACGTGCCAGTCTCTAGACACACAAACACATATATATTTAAAAAATTAGGAGATCAGCCAATCACGCTACCTTGGTTTCACCCTTTCGGTATTCTCAGGCGATATAGGCCGGAATATATATAATTGTGTATTTGGACAGTAATCCTTCTTTTAAAAAAGTTTCATTAAAGACGAATAACAAGGTACAGCGATTAAGGTTTTTATTCAATTTTTCTTTTGTTCGGATAAGTGTTTTCATTTCAGGACAGTTTTTACATACTTTATAAGTATGTAAAAACTGTCCAAATGTTCTATATATCCGAGCGTGCTCGGCTATTTATTTTTCAAAATAATAATAATAATAAACCCACCAACTCTTTCTGCTACGGTGGTTTCCACCAGTAAATGGTTTCTTCAGGCAGTAAAAAGCTTTTATTTAAGGCGACTGACAAGGTACAACGATTAAGCTTTTTATTCAATTTTACTTGTGTTCATATAAGTATTTTCTTTTCTTGATATAAAGCGTATAAAAACTGTCCAAATGTTCTATATATCCGAATGCTTTCGGCTAGTCTTTTAGCCATTATCAAGGATGTTTTTTCTTTTATTTCTTCTTTTTTTTTTACTGAATATGGAGATTTATTTTTTATATATGTGTATCTCTAGTGACGGGGATATTTTTTTTATTTACTTTCCAAGTATAAATAGCCGAGCACGCATGGATATATAGATCATTTGGACAGTTTTTACATACTTTATGTCCAGAAATGAAAACATTTATACGAACACGAGAAGAATTAAATAAAAAACTTAATCGTAGTACCTTGTCAGTTGTTTTAATGAAACTTTTATATATATATATATATATATATATATATATATATATATATATATATATATATATATTATGATAGTAGAAAAAGTTTGAAGGATTGTTGCCTAAATACACAATTTCTTATAATATGTAGATATTGTAGACCAATGAAATAAATTCGAGAGAAAAAATGAAGCAATAATAATGATAATAAAAATATTTATTGAGGATTACCTTTAGAAATTGGCACGTAAGAGTACTTATGGTAGATAAAT